GAAGTCCCGCCCGTCCCCCGTCAATGACCATCGGCGTCTCCATGGCTTTGCGCCCTCGATTCGCAAGCGATGCGAGGTCACTGTCCGATGTAAGCGCCTATGAAGAATCGATTGCCGTAATCTATTTGATAATTTAACGCTGTTCGATGAAGTTATCGATGAATCTCAAAACCCTCATTCCTTAAATTTCTTAGATTAATCCTGCCTTTTTTAAAATACTTGTCATTATAACGTGAATGTACACCGAGCTGGCCACCCTTACATAACCTCGCATAGAAATTTTACGATAGTAAAACCACAACGCCGTAAATCAGTTGAAACTATTCTGAATCTTCCTCTCCAGAAGATGGCAATGCGATCTTACAAGTTCGCGCATTATGCCCAGTCCCGTTGCAAATACCACAGCGCCTCGGGCGCGTTTCAACACGCTTTGCGCGACCACCATTTCGGCGCTCTTCTTGCTGTATCTGCGTCGCCAACTCCCTAGAGTCCCGTAGGTCCTGTCCTTGTTGGAAAATAAGTGATTCTACTTCCCGTAATTGCATTGTTTTAGTCCTCCGGCGCCGGCTTAGCATCTTATTTGCCTCTCGAAGCTCAGCGCACTCGGCCCGTACGAGGGCGAGCTCGTGCATTATCATTTTTGCTCCCTTCGCAAACTGGTCGACAGCTGAGAAAATATTCGTCGGAGAGCTATTCTGATGCTCGGAGATGCGCTTTTTCAAAAAAGTAGACTGTGCATGAACCTCTATCGGGTTCTGTGGCGTCTTTGATACCCACGGTCGGGTTGCGATTTCTGGGGACCGGCGTATCAATTTCTCTACCATCTGGCCGTACACCCGCTTTAATGGACCGAAACAGGCCACGTCAAGTGGCTGGAGGATGTGAGATGAGTGCGGAGGCATACACAAAGTTACAATTTTGTGTTCTTTGCAATATAGCTCGAAATCGCCGGAAACGTGGCTCTCGTGACCGTCCAACACTAACAATCGATATATCCCGGACTTTCCATCTTTCGTACAATTATCGAAGTGTTTAATAAATTCCATACCGATCTCATTAGTCGTCCATCCTTTTGGACTAGGTCTAATTCTCCAATCTTTCGGAATGTTGTCGTCTTCGTACCAAGAAGAGAGGTGGTATCGGCCCGCAACAACGATACCGTATTTCGCGATAACATTCGCAACAAGCCGAAACCAATCTGCAATAAGCTTTGGATCTTCGCATTGGGCCCTTTGGTAATCGTAAGGACGGTTCCAACGAGTTTTCAACTCTTTGCGACGTGCGACGAACCTCGAGGCCCAGCGCGTTCCAATGGGCCCTGCGTTACGTGTCGCGCGGATAGAATTTGCCATTGCTTCCACATCAGCAATCCGGGGCGGAAACGCTCGTGCATCTAAGTCCAGTATATGCTTGATAATTACCTCCTCTTCTAATTCTATCATAGTTCGTGAATTGGGCAAACTATCGCGTCGGAAAGGTACGCCGTTTTTACGCGTTTGGAGGGTGCTTCGGGGGACTTGGTACGTTTTTGCCGCTTGTCGGAGACTAAGTTTTTGGTCATTTTTGAGAGCTTGAAGGGCTAGCATTAAGTCTGCTTCGTTGTATGACTTTGCCATAATTGGTTGTTGAGAAAATCAAACATTAAGTTGGCCGGTCGCGTTGGCGCATGAAAATGGCCAGCTCGGTGTCATGGCCAGCTCGGTGTACATTCACGTTAGTCCACAAGCGAACGGGTCACGCCAACTAGCAAAACATGGAATTCAACACGATTTCGCAACCACAACGCCGTAAATCAATTAAAACTACTCAGAATACTCTTGCCCAGATGATTCTATCTCTACCTGACAGGTTCGCGCATTATGCCCGGTCTTCCCGCATACGCCACAGCGCCGTTGCCGTGGCTGGCCACGATTTGATCCAGCGCTATTTCCACGCATTTCCTGCTGTACTTGCTGTGCAACGTCCTTTTGATCTTGAAGATCTTGTACAATTAAGTGATCCTCCAAGCCGTACTCGTGTTTTTTTGGCCCTGCGCCGCTTGCTAATTAGAGTATTTGCCTCTCGAAGTTCGGCGACCTCAGCTTGGAGTAAAGCCATCTTATGCATAATACTCCGCGCTCCTTTCGAAAACTGATCGATAGTATCGTAAATTGACGTCGGGGAGCTATTTTGATGCCTGGAAATTCGAGATTTAATAAATTCGGATTGCGAAGTAGCCTCGGTTGGGTTGTTTGGCGTCCGAGAAGCCCAAGGAAGGGTTTCCCGCGTAGGGGGCCGGGAGGACGTTGGAGTCTGTAATTTCACATCCAGCTTCTCAATAACAATATCTGGGCTTAAAGGCACAAGCCCAGCCCCTTGAAAGCCTGCAAGAATATTGCTTTCGGTCAGGCTCTTCTTGAACGCGTCGCAAAATGCCGGAAGAAAGTCCTCCTTTGTTATATGCGAAATCCGGGCTCGGACGAGCTTCTCAATTTGCGAGCCGTAGGCCTTTTATAACGGCGCAAAACATGCCACATCTAGTGGCTGGAGGATATGAGAAGAGTGGGCAGGCATACAAAGTGTAATAATCTTGTTCTCTTTGCAATATTGCTCAAAGGCGTCGGAATGGTGGCTTTCGTGGCCGTCCAGGATAAGAAGGCGATATACACCCGATTTCCAGCCTTTGGTGTATTTGTCAAAGTGTTTTAGCTAATCTGCGGTCAATTCATTTGTAGTCCAACCATTTGGGCTCACGGCGATCCTCCAGTCCTTCGGCAACGCGTCGTTTTCGTACCAGGAAGAGAGGTGGTATTGGCCCTTGACAATGATGTATGGCGGGACCGTCCAGCCTTGGGAATTGACGCCCTGGATCACCGTAGCCTATTCTAGATTGCTAGGCTGGGCTAGCTTAGGCTTACCTTTCCTTTCAGAGCTCGTAACAGCCATCGATGCGGTAATCTGACCTATCATAAAGCCGGTCTCGTCGAAATTGTAGATGTCGGTATCGGCGATCCCATATTTCGCAATTGTATTGCGCACAAGGTCAAACCAGACTTGAATAAGCTCTGGATCTTCGCATAAGGCCCGAGAATAGTCGTATTTACGGCTAAATACCGTCTTGAGCTGTGGTTGTCGCTTAACGAAGTTGGAGGCCCAGTTCTTGCCGACGCGTAACGCGTCGCGGTCGCGTAGCAGTCGGTTTGCCATATCTTCAACAGCACTTAGCCGGGGAGGAAATGCTTGCGAATCTAGCTCAATTATCCTTTGAATAATCGTATTTTCTTCTAGTTTTGTTAAATTCCGACCGTTAGCTTCGATATTGCGACGTGATTGACGTTTTTGAAGACGCGCCTGGAGAGTAGTATTCGAGACTTTGTAGATTGTTGCAGCACGTCGGATACTAAGTGTTAAGTCATTTCTGATAGCCTGAGTTGCAAGGAGTAATTGAGATTCTTTTTGAGCAGAATCCATCGAGAATTAGTTGCGTGGTAAAGTTAGGCAGTTTAGTTCTATTTTTTGCTATGGGCGTGACCCGTTCGCTTGTGGACTACGTTATCGTAGTTTACCGTATAAAACTTTCTAAGATTTTGTAGTATCCTACCATACACTTACTCTATATCTGTCCTAAAATCAGGTAGTCGGCTAATTCAAAAGTAATGTTCTAATAAACACTGAAAGATGATTGAAAAAATAATATAAAGCAGTTCGATAAGTTCATAGGAATGGATTTATAAGAAAGAATACTTCGTAGGCTTTTATAATATATACGGTTGTTTTGGTAACAACAATTATTACTGTACTAAAGACCTTTACGCTGCATTAGATTTAATGCAGTGTGAACATAGTAGAGTACAGTAGAGTTCCACTAGTTGTGGTAGTCATGGGGGAAATAAGAAGATCTAACAAATGTCGCAAAGTCGCTATGTTGGCTCCTAAAAAAATCTTTTTGCGATCCGCAGGCGTACGCGGCCCAGTGGAGTTGAAACGTCTAGTGCTAGCACGCTATTCGGCAGTTATGCATCACGACTTACTCAATCCGCATTCCTGATAAGATCAGCTTGATGCGATTGGATGAGTGCCGAAAGTGACAATATTAACCCTAGTTACTGCCGGTTGAAATATCTGGTACTGCGTCTCGGGGAACCCAAGGGCCAAGGCAGATCCTCCACGATCTTATAAGCGAGGTCAATTGACTCCCGTCCACCCTGTCGCTGACAAGGCATGCCTGCTCTTGTCATTAATGACGAATCAGTCCGAAGCGGGTTAAAACCAGGGGCAAGACCGCAGATGAGTTGATAAGAACGCTTGTCCATGTCATTGAAATCGCTCATCAGCCTCCTATACCAAACTATGCTCTCGCCAGGTAGACCGAGGTTGATATGGTCCTAGAAGTCGTAGTTGTCCGAACCTGAAAATGAATAAGACGCGAGGCTTGCTGCTGCGGGTCGCTAAAGAAAAACTGCTGAAAGACAATGTCGCGCCTTGATGTCCCCGGCTTGACGCTAGTGAGTAAACCGAGTTTCAAACCCGGCCAACTTCTATGTTTGGAGTGACGGGTTTTTCTTTTGTACAACGACACTTGAGCGTCATGGGCAGGTGAATTGCTGCAGCGTCACCCAGATTTGCTCCCTTCAGCACATCAGTCTCCGGAATATTCATCGATAGTGCAATGTTAGCGCTTCAACTTTCCCCTTCTCGCGTCTGCCCAAATGCCCGCGCTGGGCGACTGGCTCAGCTTTCAGCTCTTGAGGAAAGAGCCATCTACGTCATATGTTTCTGGAATGTCAAAGCCGTTTGTTGGCATGCAGTCACTGCCAACACTCCCAGGTCTGGTGAGCACCAGATCAGTGATGACATCCTCTACAGAAGTTGCAATACGTAGCTAAGCACTTCATAAGCATCAGCTGCGGTCTGATCCCTCAGCTTGAGATTCTCCCCTTTGTTCTTGCTCTTTCCAGCCGCATTTCAAGGTCTAGGTACTCTCCATCCTTCTGTTTTGCTTTCCAGATCATCGGCTCAAAATGGCTTTACCCAACGACCTAAACTCAAAGCCAGAAAGCCCTGCCAATGCTGGAACCGCGCTGTCAGATTTCCTGCCCGTTCCTCACTCAACAGAACTAGTCACAAACCCCGGCAAGCAAGATGTCTCAACTGCTCTTGCCGACGAGCCCACGCTATCGCATGCTCTCGCAATGGACGACCACGAGGAAAAGGGTGCCTCGCAGCAGGACCATGCCGAGGAGGATGTGGCCAATCTGGGGTGGAACGAAACAAAGGACCATATCGTTAATCCCCTTATCGGAAATTTGGAGAATGAAGATCTCTGGCTGCTCATCCGACGATTTAATAAGGTTGGTTTCGACATTACTAGAAGTGCCTTTTGACATCGTGGCGGTGAGTTGTAGCTGACACCATAACAGCAAATGTACCATGTCCGGGAAGTATCCCATGTCGTACCTGGGAATTTGGACCTAAACATCGCCTACGAGGAGGAGTTCTCGCCAGACAAGTTGCGAGCCACCATCGAACGTCTATACATGACTGTCGTCATCGGTCTCATCAGCGTAGTCAAGCACCTAGCCCGTCTACGGTCTTGGCGGGAAACCAGGAGGACGACAGCATTCTGTACGGTAGGTTAAAATTAAATGCATTCTGATGTTATATATCGATGAAGACGCGATAGCTGACACACCCTCTGTAGGCATATTTTGTTGCATGGACGTTCGATTTCATCACCCCACTTTTGGCTGCCACGGTTATTGCGTTGATTATCTACCCCCCTGTAAGAGCTTACCTCTTTCCTCCAGCTCCAATTTCTCTCGTCAACAGCAGCTCTGGTGGTGTCCAGAAACCCATAGCCGGAGTGCTGGGCAGTGTCAACAGTGCCACGGGCGCTCCCGAGAACCACAAGGGCGAAGCCGTCGAACAGGAGGCTAGCAACTTCTTCAACGCCATCAGTTCCATCTGTATCACCGGCGCAACAGGAAAACATCCCCAGTCCGATCCGCACACAGACGAAAACGGTCCAGGGAATGCCGTTCCCGACCCCGCTGGTATTGCCATGGGTGCTGCCGATGCCAAAGACGTGGCGGCTGGCGGCACACTAAGCAAACAGTTTGACAAGACCAAAGTTCCAATCGAAAACTTGATGTGGACTCAAATGCGATCCGTCATGCATGGAATCGCAGATATTTCCGACACGTGGGAGAGGTTCGCTAATGCCCTTTCACCAACGACCCCCTTCCCCCGCGACGTTGCACGTATGAGGCTTGCGACTCTGGTCGTGCCTCTTCTGGCCATCTCCATGTTTGTTACGTCGTACATGTTCATGAAAGGCATGACGCTGGGCGCTGGATTGGTTTTCTTCGGCGGTCCCATTTTTACTCGAGGCATTAAGCTGCTCGACAGGAACTTTCCCCATTGGCAGAAACTGCTGGAGCTTCGCAATACCGTCCTAAAGGGCGTGCCAACCAACGCCCAACTGACCCTTACGCTTCTTCGTGTTGGCGAAGCCAATAAGGCGCCATTGCCTCCGCCACCGCGTCTCTCTGAAGCCCCTCCGGAACAGCCGGTAGTCGTGACTGACGCGGACCTGCGCGCAACGGGAGCAGAGCCGCCCCTCAATGCCACCGAAGCCGAACTTGAGCTTGCAATGCAGTGTGATACCGACATCTCCCATGAAAACGGTGACGATGACATTGATGCCACAAAGAATTCAAAGCAGGGTAGGAAGGGGAGCAGAATCCTCGGCTTTTTCAAAAGTACTACTAAGGGGCTCGTCAAATCGGCCATCAGAGCAGACGCGATGCGTGCCAAGGCAGGCTCTAAACCTGCAAAGGCACGCCTGGGCGCTGTGATGACAGCCAATGACAACCTGACATCGGGACCGATTGAATTCAAAGCTAGATACAAGGGCCACAAGGGACACGTCTACATCAGCACCAAGGCCACCATCCCCGCCGTGGCTTTTAGCACCGACGTCACCATCGAGAAAGTTGGAACTGTAGACCGAGAAGACCTGCATCCCGGCTGGAGCATCGCTGTCAGCGACATCAAGGAGCTCAAGAAGATTGGTGGCTACGGGTGGAAGGCCAAGATCGCTGTGGGATGGTCCCTGGGCCGCGAAATTGCCGACGGTCTGGAGATCACAGATAGGATGGGTGTTGTATGGGAGGTGACAGCACTGCCCCTGAGGGACGAGTTATTCAACCGCCTCATTGCCATGGGGGGCCAGAAGTGGGAGGCTTGGTAAGGTTGTTTTCCCTTTGAAATTATGCCACTTGTTTGTGTCTCTGACTGAACCGACTAGTGCTAGAATGTGGGCGGTATAATTGGCCCAAAGCAGTTACTTATCAGCTATACGACATTACACGATACCTAACTCGATTATTTTGGTGGCAACATGATAATCGGAGCATATGGCGTACTACGTATTTGGCAGAGAGTGTCTCTATCTGTGACTTGGATAATGATGTACAGAATTCGAACGTATATTAGACCCGGATTCTCTACGGGAACATCCGGAGGTACACAGGCTGAGGGAACCCCTCGGGGACACGGGGAAACCTCAGATCAACTGCTGTAACCGGTCGAGGTCTTAGTTGTGGTGGATCATATGGGGCACTGCGTGGGGAAGTTACGAGATCAATGCACCTAACCTGTACATTCCTGTGACAGGATTGGTGTGGTTTTCTGCGCATACTTGGGCGACCGGATGCCTACGAGCTATCTAAGTGTGATTCGTGGTCTACATATTGGGTTAAGTACACGATTGACTTGGGACATAGTGGGGAAATATCCATGATAGGAATCCCCATAACATGTGACATATTCTAGTTCATAGAGATTCCAAGTGTGTACGAAGGTAGTAGGGTATTTCAGAACTTGCCGTATTCTTGTAGTGTGCCGATCTGCCGAGGTCGGAGTGGTTCTGACGTGTCTGGATTCATTTCGGAAGCGGTAGCCGAACAAAGGCGACAATTCACGGAGAGCACCGAAATCTGTGATAAGAATCCATTCTATAGACTATCGCAGATATCGACAGCATGTAGGATAAAAAAAGAAGAAGAAAAAGAAAACCTTCCCAGTCCGTTACACCGACGCCTGAATTACAACAGTTCTAGGCAACCACCTTCACTGATTCCACTCAAACATGACTTCTGCACTCGATGCCCACTCCCAAGCCGCCTCGCACCAACAATCCGACTTTGGCAACCGGATGGGCTGGGGCAGTAAGCCCGCACTTGTCCTGATTGATGTCTGTAAAGCCTACTGGACCGAAGGCTCGCCCTTAAACTGCTCTGGCTACGAGCCAGCGACTAAGGCACCTGAAGCCATGCGGCATCTACTCGCAGAGGCCCGCTCCTCGGCAATCCCCGTCATATGGACAACTGTCGAATACACCGACCTGGATATGCGAGATGCGGGCCTTTTCTGGCTAAAATCCAAGTCCCTCGATGTGTGGAACGTGGGGGACACGCGTGGGTACAACGGCTGGGTAGACGGATTGGTACCCGAAAGGGGCGAGATGGTAGTCAAGAAGAAGTATGCGAGTGCTTTTTTCGGCACGAGTCTGGCTACAGATTTGAGATTGCTGGGCGCAGATACGGTTGTCATTTGTGGAGTGAGCACGAGTGGCTGTGTGAGGGCGAGTACGTTGGATGCCATGCAAAATGGATTCAGACCCATGGTGAGTGGTGACCTCGACATAACCACGCTATATAAACTGGCCAACTAATAGTCAGGTTGTGGGGACCGCCTGTGGAGACCGCAGTGAGGAGATCCAAAGAGCGAATTTGTTTGACTTGAACGCCAAGTATGCGGATGTGGTCAGTGAAGATGAGGCATTGGAACATTTGAAGGTTGGATGGCCACAGCTTGGAACTTGAATTAAAAATAGAATATCCCCCGCCCGCGACTGTAAGACGGGAATGTAGCTCTGTGAATCGAGTAACAGTGATGATACTGTCTCTAGTTGCAACTGAAAGATGCCCAGTAAAGTTTTGGTTTATGAGTACCAGATGTTTGTTTTTCTTTCCCATAGACGCTAGGGTTGAGGACGTCGAACAATAATGATGACACTGTCGCCGTAACTGCCCGATCGACCCGTTACATGATCCCAGTTAAGACCAAAGTAAAGATGACGCCAGGGTATATCAATAAAGCAAACGGATCCATAGGCTGCGCTTCCAATTTCAGGTGCCCTCGACCACTTTGTATCCCACGGTTGCAATACTCTTTGGGTGAGACGATCTTTCGTGAGACAGAGCGGCTTTTTTCAAACTCGGAGCTGTAAAGACTGCAGCTAATGCAACAGCATGGATACTAGCCAATATGCTACCTGGTGGGGGTGACATGCCAGTTATAGATCAAATCTTTGTTCATTGTCAGTGAATGACGGTCTATCATCTCCATTTTTCCAGCACAAATAATGCCTACCACAAGAATGAGGGCCCAATTTCCCCAGGCTCTCCTTGCTTCATCCCTAAATCCGCTACCAGTTGGTGATGTTTCCAGGACCTAAAATATCGCAATCGCATTCGGTGGACTTGCCACGCCCCCAGGAACCTGTCATCGTCAGTAATCATCTGCTTGGCCATCAAACTAGTGCAGTCATACTTTCAGTGGCACGCTGCTCACGAAAAATGTCCACCTTTTCAACTCTTCGCATTTCCGGCTCAGGTTCTCGAGATCAAACATCTCCCCAATCGGCAGTCCCCATCCTGCCAGCAACCATTGGTGGAGCAACCCACCGCCAATAATCTCATCCTCCCACTCCTCACCCTCCCACTGGCCCCCTTTGGCTGTGTGGGGTCCGGCGATTGGCGCCCTCTCAAAACTGGGCGTGTCGGACGCCACCGCTGCAAATCCAGACTCCCAGATCCACTGCAGCACTTCTTTCGTAGCTTCCAAGCCGATGAAGTCGGGCGAAGAGCGGCATGCGAGCGCCTTTTGCTCGGTTAGGGACAGCGACTCGTAGGCCAAGGTGAAGCCGGAGCGGAGGAAGAGAATGTCACCGGGCCGAAAAATAATGTTATGCTCTTGAACGAGCTCTTTCAAGTGTGACAAGGGAATAGCGACGCTCGACATGGCGGACAAGGGGATAGAACGCTTATGACAGTAAGATAAGTAGTCCAGAAGTACGCCTCGACCTACCACGCCGCCCTTTTCTACCCAGGCTAGGGATTGTCAACGCACGGCATATCGTTGGACGTATCTACCGTGAGGGCTCACCGTCTATGCCAATGTTCTCCGGCTTCTCTAGATCAGCTTGAGATGTGTTGTTATAAAACCTTATTGCTTTCTGGTATCCTGGAGCTTGTGAGTGTCTTTGGAAACGAACTCGCTCGCCAGGTTTTCCCATGCGTACCGTAATGCCGGAATCCATCCCATTGACTACTACACTGCGTGTTGAAGTTGACATGGTCATCATTAACAGACCGACCGCCTCTGTTACACAACTTCCACTCAAACGGATCTCGATCGAAACTTCGGATACGACGGTTTGTTCAATGGCCAGTCCAAGGATATACGTTCTCCAGTTCGAATCTCCGAGGCTGCTTCGGCCACCACGTTTGGTGTGAGCAGATTGAGAGCCCCGAGCTTGTCCGAGTTGCCGTACAGACCCCAAGCATTGCCGGGCGGGCCGTTGGGGTCGAGGGGTAGTGAGGAGAAAGGTGGGCGTGGTGGCATGGTTGCAAGTATGTCGGCATGTACATATGAGAACTGTCCGTTTCCTGCGGTATGCTCAAGTCTTTTGAAGTAGGAGAAGAATGCTGTTTCCATGCCTGCTTGGACCCTTCAAGCCCAATCGGCAACAAGTCCGATGCGGCAACGCCTGGCCGGGCGGCGTTGTACCGAGTCTCTGGAGCTAGTCTACCTGTACAGTGATGCGATTGAGCGGGGTTGGGTGACCTGTGGCAACCCGGCCGCGCCCTACGCCGATCGGATATGCAGTTATGGAGGGGTGGGGTTATGGCGCATCCCCCTGTATCGTGATGTCACTTTTTCGGGACGTCACCTACAAGTGCAGCATAGGCTGTACTAACTTCGCTGTGTAAATGGCAGCAGATCTCATGTATCTACCATATACAAAACTACCGTAAACCTTGAGTTCTGTTTAGTATATATATCGGGAAATTCAGATTCTCCCAGTCAGTCAAATCCCCAAACGCACTCACATTCAAGTCCGCTTCGCGTTGTGCCCTGGTCGCCTCAGACATCTCCACCCGAACATGACCCCCAATCCCCTGCAGTCGATCCCGCTTGTCATTCTCCCACTTGAGAAGGAACCGCAATACTACGACGATGACAACCTCGAGCAGGTGTGCGATAATCATGCTCCAAATGCCCAGGGTATACCGGGGCGCCTGTTCCGTTTTGTAGAAGAAGGGCCCGGCGATGTTGCCAGTGCAGTAGCCGAAGAAAAGGCAGGCGGACGTGACAACCTTTTTGGTGTGACCCGCCGTATTGGCGGTTTGCAGGGAGAGGAGAAGCACAAAAGAGGCATTGATTGAACCGGTCAACTGACAAGCCACGATTTAGCAATAGTCCAAGTGGCGAAATGGGCGGGGTGTTGACTTACATAGTAGCAGATTAATCTACCGATGCTGTTATCCTGGGGCAGGAAGCGCATACCAACAGCCCCGGCAATGTTGGGCAGAAGGAAGATGACGATCATGTAGCAGCGATTACTAGGCGGCATGCGGTCGTTGATATAGACGCACCCCAACACGGCCACAAAGATCAACGCACCGTACGGAATCTGCAGGAGCGCAGTGGCCACTTGTAGAGTCAGCAAACGCATGAACTAAAGTTCGTACAGTCAGCCCATGAAAGAAACTCACAAGTTGAATAGTTGAACCCTTTCACAATCAACGTCCCAAAATTCGACACCCCCCCCCCCCGTTCACAATACTCTGCATCAGCGCAATCGCAAACAAGAAACACAGCTTGTAGTCGGCAAATGCCTCCCGGACCTGGTACGGCTTGAGCGTCTTGTTCTCGATACCCGTCTGGTTCTCCCTGAGCCTTTCGACCACCAACTCCTTCTGATCCGCAGTGAGATGCTTGGTCGTCACAGGACTGCTTGGAAGCATAAAGAAGATCATGATGCCCCGGATGCAGCACAAGGTACCAATGATGATGAACTCATACTTCCAGCTCGGAAGCGCGCCCTTAATGCTCCCAATGGCGTAGCCGAGTAGCCCGCCCAGTGCGATGCCCAGGCCATTGGCCGTGTACCAGAGGCCGATTTTGATGGGTTATTCGCGGCGAGTATACCACATGCTTCGCTCCGATTAGCAAATCCGGCATTTCTATGTTGACCCTGGGAAAGAGGCCATACCTTGTGATGAGCATGAATGCAGGGTCAGCACACGCCTCGGCTGCTCCGCTGAGGGCTCGTAGGGCAGCCAGGGTAGCAAAATGGGTCGAGACGGCTTGCAGCATGAGAAGTACACTCCAGGCGAAAATGTTGATTCCCAAATATTTAGCCATGGGGAATCGCTGCAGCAAGAAATTGGTCGGTAGGGCCCAGATGAGGTACCCAACGTAAAAAATGCCAGACAGCCAACTATATTCAGTGCCGCTCAGGTTGAGGTCCGTTCGAATGCCGAAGATAGCGGCGTAGGAGAGAGTCGTCTTGTCGATCTGTTTGAGCAGTGTTAGTCTTTCTTTTAATGGGATCGCTGACTAAATGAATTTCGGGTCCAAACACGCTCACATAGAAGAATGCATAGCAAACGGCGAGGTACGGCAAGATCATGAAGTCGATCTTCCTCATCAACTTCCTCTCCAATGCCGTATCGATGGGCACATGAATCTCGTCTGGATTGTTGAGCAATGCAACGCGGTATCACCGCCGCCATGGCTGGAAATTTGAAACTTGTGGTACTTGGGCGTGTCATTGTCAGGATTTTCCACATGTTGCGTACCCGCGATGGTGTCGAACCTCTGTGCCTCGGTGTCTTTGGAGTCCATGGGGGGTTATTATGGTCTATGAAGTGTGGAGCAACTAGGAAGGAATACGTTTTATGGCCAAACCAGTGTTAACCAGACATATGCTAATATGATGGTCGAGTCTGAAGGAGTCATACAGTTCCAGCAATGTAGGCCACCGGAGAACAGCATGCCCTTCTCTTGTGCATATCCGTCACCCCCGCTATCCCTGGCTTTAGTAACCCCACAGGAGACATATCATATTCCCCATGGGGTATTGACCGGGTTCCCACACATGTCCAGATCGGGACCTTCACATGCATTATCCAAGCAGGATGACCCCCAAACCAACTGCAATATTTCCGAACCATGCATTTTCTGGTGGGCCAGATTGGACAAGACGGCAAAGGGCGACACAAGTATATTCACTGCAAGACACCCCAAGAAACGGACACGACAGCACGAGCTTGAAGGCGGTCCAGTCGGCTTCGGCGAGCAAATTGACTTTATATGGTAGAAGCCAAATGTGCGGTCGTTGTGAATTGAAAGGTAGAGTATAGGGGCGAGGTTTCTCTAAGAAGGATGTGAGATGAATTCGCCCGTGGTAAAGATTGATTTGTTTTCGACAGTGGCTTGGAATGTCGTTTGGGAGTACGTTACTGAACTTCCGGGGGGTTCAGAGACTAGCTTCATGGCTGCAAGGATGGCTACAAAGGTGATATTGGGAGAATTAATTCATTCAGTGTTAGCGGAGGGTACTCGTGACATTATACCAGTTGGTTGCAACAATCTCGGCGTTGTTGATCGGGAAGGAGAACACGTTGCCTGAGTTTAGCCGTAACAAGTTCCCAAATCGGATACGTCGGCGTATCATTAGTCGTGACTATGGAAAGTCCTTCTATCAGGAAAGCTTCCGTGTAGCTCTGCTCGACGCGCTACGGGGCTGTATTGAAGGACAAAAGTCCCTTCATGAGTTCGGTTTCTCCACCGAGATATCTCAATTCACAATCTTATGATCAACGAAGACGAGGCAAACCCTTCCTGGCCCTCGTTCTTGATCGACTTAGACTTTGCTATCAAAGTGCATCGAGACGGCGCCTCGGGAGCAATGTAACAACCTTGTTGCTCTTTTCGGTCTTCGCCGCTTTCTGTCTTGGCCGACCATTTCATACGGCCCGGGATTTTCCCAAGGCGAAGTACATAATAGTAGATAGAAATTATTTACAGTAGCCCCATTGCCCTGCTTAGCACGGTAGGGAAGGTAATAGAGACGGCGATGAGCCAGCGTATCACCAAAGTAGCTGAGGCGGCCGGCCTACTACCAAACGGCCAAATGGGTAACCGCGCTGGGAGGTCCACCGAACTGGCAATACGTATAGTTGAGGACGTGGTCTATACGGCGTGGAGACGCGGGGGCATCGCCTCGCTGCTACAGCTAGACATCAAGGGGGCATTCGATACGGTCAATTACAGACGGCTGATTTCCATATTAGCCCGGAAAGGCTACCCGGAGTGGGTTCAGGAGTGGGTACGCAGCTTCGTGGAGGATAGGACGGTACGCCTCCGGTTCGATGGCAAGGAGTCAGAGCCAATCCCCCTACGAGCTGGCGTCCCCCAGGGGTCACCGCTATCCCCGATACTGTTTATATTATACATTTCAACGCTGTACTAGCGGAGCAGCACCCACTACTTTTAGTAGTCAGGTTCGCGGACGACACGAACCTGCTAAGCGTCGGCACCGATCCAGACACGACCTGCCGTCGGTTGGAGAGCGCATGGGCTACGTGTCAGCGGTGGGCAGTGAGGCACGGGATGAAGTTCGCTCCTGACAAGAGTGAGCTAATGCACTTTACTAGGGCCCGAGAGCCCTTGCCGCAAAGTATTCGCCTTGGGGACGCCACAGTGTCGCCGGTAGTCTCAGCGAGGTTCCTAGGAGTCTGGTTCGACCGCAAACTGACGTGGCACGCCCATGTTGAGCGTGTTAAAACAAAAATGGCAACTCAAAAGCTAGCCCTGATAAAGCTAGTCAATATGTCGTGGGGCTGCGATCTTATACGGGCGAGGCTGTTATATACGGTGGTTATCCGTAGCGCGATCGCCTTCGGGGCGACTGCGTGGCATACTATAAGTGAGGAACCGGCAGGGCCAGCTAAGAGCCTGATGGGGATACAGAACGAGTGCCTCCGGGTAGTCTGTGGCGCCCACAAAGCGACGCCGGTTCGCCACCTGGAAGCAGAAGCAGCAATCCCGCCACTAGACCTCTATCTTAGTGCCCGGGCTGCTAAGTTTGAAGAACGGCTACGGCTTAGCGGGAAGAGAAATCTGCTTCGCAGCGCGAGCGCTAAAGCGTCACATATACTCCGGTAGGATAGGCCGGCGAAGAGGAAGCAGGCGTCGCAGCTACTCCGACCGGCAGGGTACACTATGGAGAAGGAGGCCCGGGGCTCCGAGTGGATGAGTGAGGAAAATGAGGTCCCGGCTGCCCTCCTCGGCCACTGGAGGAAGAGATGGCTCACCGGAGCAGAGCATCACGATCGCCAGCGACGCGCTATCGCTGAGGAACCGGAGGGCCCTTCGATGCAGATACCGAAAGGGGGCAAGTATTTCGGCCTGAACCGACTGGAAGCGTCTACGCTGTGCCAGATCAGGACGGAAAAAATAGGACTAGCAGCCTTCTTATTCAAGACAGGGGCTTTTGGCGTGTACTCGCCGCTATGCCGCTGTGGCGACGCCCCTGAGACGGCAGAGCACGTAATCCTCTTTTGCGGGCTGTTGGAAGGACCGAGGGAACGATTACGGGCCGCTATCGCACCACGGCCACTATACTCTCGCAGAGACCTCGCAACGGCAACAGGAGAACCAGTAGTTAGTGGGACTATTGTAAGGTGGCTGCTAGGGACGGGTCGGACAGCTTCAAGGCCCAGATAGCATCGATCTTCTCAGGGGGGACTTTGTTGGTAGGTTGAGAACCAACGTAGTATGGCAGTGAACGCAACGCAGTCGCCAATAGGGCGAACCGACGACGCAGCGTATGTATTTGGTCCAGCCATTAGGGCACGGTTTCACATACGGGAGTACTAGTAGAGGTACCGGGGGCTTCGAGCCTACGGCGTATTTAATAATAATATTTACAGTATCGACTATCTATACCGGTTTTGGTATTGTATTTTCTTCACAGCAATTCCGAGTTTTAGTGCGGTTCAAGACGCACGGTATAGCAAACCTAGTTTCAATTTTATTCGCTTACTATCTGCCAACCTATATAGATAATTTCGTATTTTATGGAGACGGGATTAAGCAAACGTCCCCTCCCCCCCCTCCCCCCTCGCCGCAACTCGGAGAAACTATGAAGATAACATCGGCACTCCTGTCCTAAAGAGACATAGTGAGTGCGATCATGTTGCCTACACTATCCAATTAGTTCTTTTTGTCTGGTATATTCAATAAGCTCATCACTATATTCACCCTAATATTGCTGAAGCCCCTTTATTTACGAATGGCCCCCCCTTCCACATATATTGCTTTGACTGTCTGGCCATTGTTGTAGGTTGGTGCGTCGGCTCCCTTGTAGCCATAGTTCACTCGTGCAATTCCCCTCGAAGATGCTCGAAACAATACCATGAAGATGCCCCCTGCTACCAATACAGGCTGATGGACATATCGAATGACATACTATTTACCCATCCATACGACAGATACTTCGACTCCAACGGGGAAAGAAAGAAAGTTTGGGGCTCCTGTTCGTGTTGCTTTTCGGCTCTATTTAAATGTAGTTACTACCCCAAGCTTCACGCAGGCTACTGGTAAGGCTGCTGACTTTAGGTGTTCTTGTACAGTGTTTGCGTTGCAGGACATGCAGGGTCATCTTCCTTGCTAGCTCTACTTTTGAGTTCGATTGAAATCCTTCTACGTCGACTAAAGATAGGGCTGGCGTAGCTGGCAACTTGATGCCACAGTCCGAAATGACGCTCGTTAAGACGAATGCAGGTACTGCATGAACCTATCTGCCACTGCTTCGCCAACCGCTGCTGTTCTTCTTTCCCGGTTACTTTAAAACCCCGGCCCGTTCATACCAGTTGTCCGAGATTTTATCTGGATTCACGGAAGACAGCAATGTGGAATTATTGTCTGGTTGTGGTGGGCACAGGAAGTCGACCCGTGAAGTCGACTCGAGCGTCTTCCCGTAACACAACGGTAATCAGGGGTTATGGCGTCCAGAGCCTCTGGTAATACGATATCCAACTGACCCATATTATCAGGGTTTGCGAGAGGTCGATACAACTCGGTAGAACATCGTTGTATGTAAGGAGCACCCCACATGACCTCGGTTGCGGACCACTGATAAAAGTGTCCGTCCACACGATAGCGAACGCACTTGTTTTTATATCCTACCGTAAATTTTGAACCTGAAACCCCGGAAGCCAACTAGCTATACCATACCAGAGTACCAAACTACAAATCACTGACACTATGCATCTGGACCTGGAAAAGAAAGTCGTTCTGGTGACCGGTAATTAGACCCCCAACCGACTCCAAACCCACAAAAACACTTGATACTTGACTAACTAGAACTCCAGGGGGCACGAAAGCCATTGGCCGCGCAATTGTCCACGGCTTCCTCGCCGAAGGCGCAACTGTATACTTCTGCTCCCGCACCGCTTCAGACATCAATGCGGCCAACTCGCAGTTGCAAGTCGACTTCCCGTCCGCCAAAGCCGTTGGCGAGGTCGTGGATGTCTCCAGCTCTAGCCAGCTTGGCAACTGGGTTTCGTCCTGCGCATCTGTTGAGGGGAAGATAGATGTCATCGTGGCCAACGTCTCGGCCATCTCCATTCCCGACACGGCCGAGTCATGGCAGAAGACCTTTGACGTGGATGTAATGGGTACTTACCATTTTATCCAATCTGCTCTGCCTCATCTGGAGAGAACCAAGGGCGCTATTGTTACCATTGGTTCAGTCTCAGGGAGAGATGTCGATTTCAGCGCGCCTAGCCCGTACGGAGCCATCAAGGCGGCGTTGATTCACTACACGACACAGCTGGCGCACACACTGGCACCCAAGGGGGTCAGGGCAAATAGTATCAGCCCGGGAAACACATATGTGGAGGATGGGGTGTAGGGTGGGATCGAGAAAGGGAACGAGGATCTGTTCAAGAGCCAGTTGGAGAAGAACGTTATGGGGAGGATGGCTAAACCGGAGGAGGTTGCGGATGCGGTAGTGTGGATTGCGAGTCAGAGAGCTAGTTTCGTGAGTGGTGCTAATCTGAATGTAGACGGGAGTCTATGTACGGGCGTACAGTTCTAGGTAGAATGTTAGCTGGGTGAAAGAGCCCTGGTGCGGCTTGGACCCCATAACCCCACCACGCACCCCTCCCCCACCCCAACCTGTAATTCCCTTCTTTACCTTGTTATGTAGCCCGAAAGCCAGTACCAGTGCGATCCGACACCGTATGTTGTATAATAAGCCGGCACAATCCGGAGGATTAGACAAGATATGGAGGCCTGCGCGCCCGAACAGCGTAACTGCACTGCGAAGATTGACTTTGGTCGAGTTGGAGGTTTCGCAAGTACGATCAACCTTGAAAGACTAAGGCGCAATCATGCCGTTGAGAACCCAGAGTATTCAGGAAGGATCGAATCCTTTACTATAGAGATGTTATTGTTGGATCAAGAGTACCTACAAACATAGGCCTAGTATAGGCCATTGATCCACTTACATAACTATATGTTCATATCTTCAATATGTCAAAGGTGGTCTCCAACTGAAGATGTCTGCGAGGACAAACACGCTTCGCGGCAGACAAATTCTGAGATAGAGCAAGTTCTCCTGGTTGAAGTTGTCCAAGTTTCTGGATCTGGTTGATACTTCCCCTCGGAATTATCTTGCTTGCTTCTGCTGGTCAATGGTCCTCGCCTTCTGTTGGACAAATCTTCCAAGCCGAATTCGGAACCTGTCCGTCTAGTCCAAGAACTGGACATGCGATTTCAACATGTAGACTGTCTCAATATCTAGCTATGCTCATTTTCTAGTGAGAAGAGTTGGCCCCCAAAACCTGCAGGTCCGATAGCTGGTCAAGAAATTTGAATGCGCTGTAATGTACGGTGACGTTGAGATTCATGCCCTCTAGTTTTCCAAGAGGCCACTAGGGCTTGTAGATCAAAATGTGTATGTCTTTGAAGTTGAATGCCACCTTGTCGTGTGATGCCATGTTTGGTTGGGTCACACAGATCTTGGTTGGGCCGGGCGCCTGTTGTGTATGCTCCTCCATGTCTTGGCTGTACTTAATCATTCCCGGAGAGGAAACAGGCCAGTGATGTTGAGAGCCAGAAGATTCGGGCAACGTGCAACAAAGCCTTCCTCTTAACGGCACTCCAATATATCAAATTTCCGCCACCAGTCACATGCGAAGCAAGACTATCACTGAGGCGCCGACGAACGGAGAAAAGATCAATACAGTAGTACACTGACGCGAGGACGGTTCCCGTGGGGTGTCCGGCAAGTCGCGTTTCATGGCCGTCTCATCGCCACCCGCCACCAGACGTTGTCCAGGGCACCGTGACTTCCTCCTTGCATACACGATTGCCGCCCCCATACCCTACCCCTTAAAAATCTCGGAGTGGCGTTAAATAAATGTACAGGTTGATGGGGATTTAGTTGGCGTCGGGCTGGCTTAGGATGTATTCCACTGCCTTGTCCACTGTAGCATTTTGTTAATGAACAGCTCAGTTCAAGGTGGATGGCCATGGTCGCCCGTGGACAGGGGGGGTGCTCAGATGTTGAGCAAAGGGAAGCTTACCGCTGTGGATGGCATCGGCCTCCTTATCCGGGATCTCAATACTGAACTCTTCCTCTATCGCCATGACCACCTCAACGGTATCCAAGCTATCCAGCCCCAGGTCGTTGGAGAAGTGAGCAGTGGGCTTGATCTATATTCGCACCGAGTTAGCACGCTCGAGGGTCTGTCGTCTAGAAACCACGGCCTGTCTTTCCCGATCCTCCCCATCCGACAATCGTAGATCGTACGTACATTGGTAGAATCGTTGACCTTATCAAAGCCCTGGAGGATGCCCATGATGCGGCCTTCAACTTCCTCCTTCTTCAACCCTGCAGCGGCAGAGTACATGCGCATCGACATGGCAGCGACGGGTCGCATGGCAGGTGTGGAAAGAACAGCTCTCGAAATAGGGACACGGGCGACGGGTCGTACGGCGATTCGGGATGCCGCAACGGCGGTGCGGAGTAATGCCGTGCGGAACATTGTGATGTTTGTTTTTTCCCGGAGAGAATCAATTGACCTTATTCCCGAGAAGAACGGGTGAATGAAGCGGGTCTAGTGGTGGACGGCGGTTTGATTTGTATTGACTGAAGGTGCAAAGTGGTTACGTTCGTCGAAATTCCAAGAGCTTGAAGATTAAATTTCTTGTCGGATCAAGAGTGTCTCGAGCTTCTCAAAACTAGCGCCTAATCGGCCTGCTCAGAGCTTAACTCCGGCAGTAAGCTGTCACGTGATCCGCCGTCCGAACTCAAGTCCGCGGTGATTTGCAGCTGCCAATTTTGTTGGCCAATGATGATGCGCCTATTTCCAGTAGCCGTCACGTTTTTTAGTGGCCCTGAAGAAAGCTGCAAGAAATATATCAATCAAATCAGCAACGGCTTGTTCATGAAGCTGAATATTCAAGTGGTCAGGAGCATAGAGCATTGTTCAAGTATGGACAAAAATGACATAATGAGGATTTGGACCGGGAGCATGTTCATTCTGCATCCTCTACATGGAATGACCTCAACTGGAAACGAACTCCAAGCCATTGCCCTAGGACAAATGATATATGCTGCCTTTGCTCTACTAAAATGTACATCTGACACCTCTCGTATCATCATTAGGACCCCCCCTTTTATCTGTAGGGCGAATCCGCCCGGATGACAGCCGCCAACTCAGGCTCCCACTTGTCTCCATTCGCCAGCAGCTTTTCCTTATTATACAGCAGCTCCTCTCTTGTTTCTGTCGCATACTCGGCATTGGGAGATTCGACGATAGCATCGACGGGACAAGACTCCTGGCAGAACCCGCAGTAGATGCACTTGGTCATGTCGATGTCGTACCGCGTGGTTCGTCGGGAGCCATCGGCTCGCTCCTCAGCTTCGATGGTGATGGCTTGCGCGGGGCAGATCTGCATTTGGATCATGTTCAGTACATTACGTTCGAGTGCTTCAGGTTAGATATATATGACATACGGCTTCGCATAATTTGCAGGCAATGCAGCGTTCCTCGCCCGAGGGATATCGTCGAAGTGCGTGTTCACCACGGAAACGCGGCGAGATAGGACCCTTCTCGAAGGGGTAGTATATTGTGTAGCTGTTAAGATTCTTCGTTAAGCCTCTGATATGAACGTGATGCTGCCAATGCCAACCAGGGCCGAAACGTACGGTGGTCGGAAGTACTGCTCCATCGCGACATACATGCCGCGGAACATCTCCGTCATCAGGAAATAGCGTCCATTCTTGTCCATGAGGCTCTCCTGGTCTTCGTCCCAGGGCGTCGGTCGCTTTTGGCGGAAGCCAGCAGGTGGCGGGCCTGAAGGTGTGGCATAGTTGCGTTGCGCGACTATTCGGGCAACCGCTGCCGCTGTTGCTGGTGATGTGCGAGGGTGCTGCTGTCGGCGCATGAGTTGGCGCGACAACATGGTGGCGGTGGTCGTCGGTTTCATGAGCCCCTGCATGCTGGAGTACAATTGGGCTGGTAGGAGGGAGCAGGCAGATCGTCGTTATCGGATTTGGAGGGCGAGATGGCGAACTAAAACAGCTTTTAGGTCATCATTTGAGAGGTTCGGCAATTTAGGTGGGCCCCGATGACAAAGGGAGCCATCAGATTGGCCAGAGCGGCATCGTTGTGGCTACAAGTGACCGTGAAAGTGTGGCTTGCCTCCATAGTTTGGAAGGGACAACAGGGCGCAATGACGGTGAGAATCTACTCAGACCAAATGACAACTGCAAACTTGCTCTACCGACGTTTATAAGCATCAAAACTCACGAAGCCCATCGCAACAGGCATCCTGGTAAAGTCTTCAAATTTAAATCCCGTACCGTATCTAAACCACCCGAGTGTAATTCAACACAAAAGAAAAGTGCAGCGAAATCAGGAGTTCAGGACCTGGTAAGCTCGCAGACGTAAGCGATAGCCTGGGATCGGATGCTCAGTGCTATGCCTTGAGAGTCATGCCCAAACTGGCGACTTTTGGAAGAACCACGGTCATATTGTATTTCATAAGTTGAGGTAGTGGTGAAGTGACACTTCGACAGCAATGCCCGACGCCCGACCCGACTAACTGTTAGAATTGGAATAATGACTGACTGCTTGCTGTATTGATACTACGAAGGGACGATCTACATTCGAATAGACTACAAATGTGATCTTGAAGACCAAATTATTGTAATTATGTATTTAGTCCAGCCATTAGGGCACGGTTTGACATACGGGAGTACTAGTAGAGGTACCGGGGGCTCCGAGCCTACGGCGTATTTAATAATATTATCTCCTGGTTTTCGATGTTTCTCAAGTCCCAGGGTGTGCCCGTCGAGCCTACTTGAGCACTATCCGAGTTGGGTACTGGAGACCAGATGCTTTGCACAAAATGATTGGGTTCATTTGAGCCAGTTCCATTTCATATGGAGATGGTGCATTGGTGTGGTAACAAGAGAGTGTTTAAAACGACGCCGTCTTAATAATGTCAGCTGCTGCACTTACAGCAGCACCTGCAGGACCTCTGGATCCATGTCACAACCCCCACCTAAACCCACTCATTCTACAGCGTGAGTTGATCATAATGATGATATGGTCTATGACGTACGTTTTGGGCGATACAAAACGACATCCGAAGCGTCAAGCTTTTAAAGACGTTCATCTCTTTAGTTCATACATCTGACCATTGAATCATCAGCTCTCTCAAACGAGTTCTGCCAAGAGTCGTCAACCCTCGGACTCCTTATGGAAATTCAGCAAATTCATCAGACCTCCGCAAACATGGCGCCGTCTGTTTTCCAGCTCAGTGGCACCTGCAATAACTACCCCTGGGGCAAACAGGGCAAGGCATCCCTGGCCGCCCAATTGTGCGCCCAAACTCCTGGCACCGACTTCAAGCTGGACGAGTCGGCCGTCTACTCGGAAATGTGGTTCGGCGATTACCCCGACTTCCCTGCGCGTGTGCTCTCGAGTGGCGAGCTGCTCTCCGACGTGCTGAAAACCGACAAGGAGCAGCTTCTAGGCAAGAAGGTGCTGCAGTACTATGATGGGCAGCTCCCATTCCTGCCCAAAATCCTGTCCATCTCCAAAGCCCTACCACTGCAGCTGCACCCCAACAAGGCACTCGCCACTAAGTTGCACGAGGAAGATCCTGGAAATTTCACGGATCCCAATCACAAGCCCGAGATCGCGGTGGCACTGGGCAAATTTGAAGTGTTTGCCGGGTTCAAACCGCTGGGCGAGATTCAGTCGCTGTTTGCGCTGCAGCCTCTGAAACGGTTTGATCCCAGTCCGGGGAAATGGGATGACGAGACACTGCGCAATGTCACGAGAGAGCTGATGAAGGCAGAGTTTTCGACAGTCAAGGAGGTGCAGACGCAGCTGTCCCAGCTTTCCAGATCAGATCTCCCATCCGAAGCGGGATATATCTTGAACCTCCTGCCACGACTCCAAGATCAGTACGGACCTGAAGATGCCGGCAGCCTCGTCACCCTGTTATGCATGAACTACATGGTCTTCCAGGCCGGTGACGCCATCTACATTCCCGCCGACGGCATCCACGCCTACCTGTCGGGCGACATCGTCGAGTGTATGGCGCGGTCCAACAATGTCCTGAACACGGGATTCTGCCCACCCGCCGACCGAAACAGCATCGACCTCTTCGCCAACGTACTCACCTTCAAGACCCACAGCAGGGATGACGTGTACCTCCCCAGCCAGACGTACGACAAGAGCAAGAACGGAAAGACGGTCGTGTACAAGCCACCCATGAGCGAGTTTGACATGCTCAAGGCTGATTTGGGAAAGGGAGAGACGGAAGAGTTGACGGCCAACGAGGGTCCAGGCGTGTTGATTGTAACGAACGGGGAAGGAATTATGAAGGCACAGGGAGAGGAATTTGAGATGAAGAAAGGTTACATATTCTATGTAGCGCCTGGGGTAAACTTGCGGTGGGAGAGCAAACAGGCCTTGCAGATACACATGGCTGTGATATAGAGGCCTATCAATGCGAGGTTTTAGCCTTTGGCAGGCTGCGCACTACACCGCGATACACGTATGGATTCATGTAGTACCTACGCGTGAATTATATTTTCACTCACGGAATAGTAGACCAGGTTGTGATAAGTTGTACAAGAGACCCACAACTGTAGAAGCAGTCCGAGAAAATTATTAACAACAATCTAAGCGTATGTGATTGGTCTACCTATAGAATAGATAGTGCTAGTTAAGTTACCAAAGCTCCCTATTATCGTACCTAGTCTACCTACCTACTAAGACAACTAACTTATTTGCGGCTACCATACTCTATAGCCCCCCTCTAAAACCGCTAACTTCACAGTAAGTCGAGGGTGTAGGCCAAGTTCATGGGTCCAGCATCTTCAACAGATATTTTGCGGTCTAAGTGGAGATTAATCTCATCTGGGCAGGCTGTCAAAATGACGGTTATAATTTGGTTTTGTTTGTGTTATGGAGACACGGTTAAGGATGTTGCCCATCTATCAATGCTCCTTTTGCTTGGCTGGTGTATAAGCCGCTGCAACCAGGCTGATGTTGTTATGGTGGCCACGCATGTCCACCACGAAAGTGATGGGGGAAAGTTTAGTAGATTTCGGCATCTTACTAGAATCCACAGCGGTATACCGATGCCATCCTTCGTTTTGATTCAGTAAGCTTCTCGTGCGAGGAGAAAAATTGAATACAGAAATATACAAATTCGCAGCGTCGTGTTACACTTGTTTGTATAACAGGGTGATTTACCCACTACACTTCGGTTCATTAGACCCGTCTTCATAAGCCGTAAGCTCGCATAGTATAGTATAATAAACAAGAATTAAAACGATATTATCGCAGAGACAGAACGAGATGGCATGTACATCTTATTTGAAGTGAAACGAAAAACTATCCAAACGAATTTCTCATCGTTCAGGTCGGGGTTGATGCTTATTCAACAGACAGTGTAAGTCATATAGAGAGGTACTAAACAGACAGTCTGAAGAGAGTGAGCTGAATCATCCACCATCGCCATCTCGATTGGAAAATATGTACATTGGTCATAATTTCGGCCACAGATGATGACTTAAGTATGTCATTGCGCAAGAGAATACGCACGAACAGGGTGTCCCGTAGTAATGTAAACCAATTATTCGTCTTCCTCTTCCTCCTCTTCCTCTTCAATTTGGCGCCTGCCGAAAACGCTAGCAGCAGCAGCAGCATCATCAGGGCTCTCCTGCTGGAGAGCGGCCAGAATTGAAGCAACGTCGTCCTGTCGCTTATCAACATCTTCACCATACGCTTCGTCCTCCACCATTTCCTCAGGCGTCTCCTGAGCTCTTTTCGCGATATCCTCTCCATACGCTTCGTCCTCCGCAATTTCCTCAGGCGTCTCCTCAACTCTTTTCGCGACATCTTCCCCATACGCTTCGTCCTCCGCAATTTCCTCAGGCGTCTCCTCAACTCTTTTCGCGACATCTTCCCCATACGCTTCGTCCTCCGCAATTTCCTCAGACGTCTCCTGAGCTCTTTTCGCAATATCTTCACCATACTCCATATCTTCAGCAAGCTCCTCGGGGGTCTCCTCGCTTCTCTTCTGAGTGGAAGCACCACCCCCGAAGGCAGCAGCGGCAGCGGCAGCATCGTCAGGGTTGTTGGCAGCTAGAGCAGCGAGGATCGACTCCATATCTTCTTGACGCTTGATTGCACCCCTCGCGGCAGCCGCATCATCAGGAGATTCCTGCTCGAGTGCGGCCAAGATAGAATTCACATCATCCTGGCGGCGCTCTGTTTTGATGGTGAGACCCATAGAGAGGGCTGCGAAGGCAAGGATAACGGCGGCGGAACGCATTTTGATGTTTGTAGTCGTTTCGAGGACTGTGAGAGACGATGAAGAGAGTGAGTACTAATTAAGAGAAAGGACAAGATACTGAGCGCTGCTCTAGACCAGAGATGGAAAAAAATAAAAACCTGAATGATGACAGAGCCAGCTTGTCACCAACGTAAGTCATCAACGTTGTGGTGAGAAGATAGACGGTCTTTTTAAGTACGCGTCGCACGGTAATGCCCGTTTTCCCAGTAAACCGGTCGAAACATGCTGAGTCTCGGCATCTCTAATTCCGGATGCATCTAGAGTCAGGTTATTTGGATACGTTTGGCACTGAGGCTCTGCATCGGCGACGAGCGATCTTCGAGATCGGCCATATCACCGTCATCAGTCATGTATCGATCTGCAAACACGAGGGACGGTGCAGGGTCGAAATGATGCATTTATCAGACGGTTTTATGTGATTGGAATATTTTCTTGGTGCTGCGTCTTAACTACTTATTAGGACGAAACGTAGGCATTCCTAGGACGCTCCGGGCGCATCATCTCATGGCGATGCGGTTTCAAGCTCTATCTGTGCCCCAACAAGCGAGTCGATTACAGTGTTTCTCTCTACTAAAATCTGGTACAACCCCAAACGAGTATTATTTAGCATCGTTAATACTCGGTAGTTTTGTGAAGCTGGATAAGCACGTTTGATCAAACTATATATGACACAGCTGTGTCTGAGCCCCATCAATCTGGGTCTCAACCCTGGGGCCTCTCGCTCGCCTTGCATCTGGCGCTGGGGCAATGGGCATGGATGTGTCATTGTTTTACGCAGAAACGAAGAGGAAACCCGAGATAACATTAGGACGTTGAAACATTTCATGCCAACTCGTGGTTCCATTAGTATAGTAGCCTGTAGTCATAGATTAATCATGTTGAAAAATGGAATGATTCTGACTAGGCGTAGTAACGACTTCTTAGTTTGTTTCACGAAGTCCTGATTACAATGTGATACATTGCACGAATGATCGGGGTAGACTGAAAAATGACAATTATATCTCGGACAAGAAAGATGCATTGATCGCGTGATAGAGACGAAGCTCTGCCAGTTAATTATGTGGAAGACGCGGTAAAAGGCAAGTTAACAAAGTACCGTGGTAATCTTAGGTCATGAACACTCCTTTTTTACCTTGCCCGCATCATTCGCTAAGCTTCAACTCCAGGCATATATTCGGAATCCCTTCAAACCCACTCGGCATCGTATAGGTGAAATTCCAGAACTCGAAATCCCGGACCAGATCACCCGAACCTCCGAGTTGGCCTGCGAAGGACAGACTGTAGGATGCATTGACATTACCTGAGAGGGTCACATTCAACCCCTGGAGGTCCTCCCAACTCAAGATCATGTTGACCTTTTTGAATGTGCCAACCACGAAGGTGAAGGTGGAAGAAGCGTTGCCCTGAGGGTATGTCAAGTTGAGTTTCCCCGGCGAGACGTCGGCCTCGAGCGCCATTTCGGTGGCATACCACTGTTGTACGTGAGTTTGCGTGCATTTCTAATATTTTGCATTGGGTGTACTCACGGATAAGAAGTTGATTTCGTCGCCGGTATTCCAGTGGATGATGGCGGGGTTAAATGAGCCCTAAATGCACTTATTAGTCCCCCCCGAGCGGGCGTGCCATTGTGTATCTTTACTTACCTGACTCTCCGAGGGGCCACCTAACACATTCTCGGTGTATGACTCGCCGCCGATAGTTAGGTTTTCCGACAACCACGTGGTGATATTCCGCGGCTTCAGGTCATACGGCGGATAGTACGCCGAAGCCGTGAAGATATGCTCTCCACTGAACGTTTCCAATTTAGTAAGAGTGTCGTTCGGGATGAGCGTCTCATGAAAACCGGCCAATACAGCCATTGGAGGACCCCACGCCCAGTCGGGAGAATGCGACATGTCTTGCGGATGCTCGATTATGGAAGACTTGTCTTTGCCGATCAAGGCCCAGAACCACAGTCCCATCAGAGAGACGTAGCGGTTCATGTCGAATCCATATGCCCGATCCCAGGGGCCGACCATGTTCTTTCGTTGCAAGTCAGCACGTAAATTGCTGTCGCAAAGAGCCCGTAACCTCAACATACCTTGAACCCTGGATGCCAGAGTTGCTCAACGGCCTTCCAGGTGTCTTGCAACATCTTGGGGCCATATTCGGTCATAACGGAGTCATTGGGAAGGTACTTGGACCATAGTAGAAGGCCGAAAAGCGAGACGCCTGTGTAGGTTCCGCTGTTGAACTCCGAGAGGGTGTCGTACATAGTAAATAGGTCGATTATCTCCTGAGCATACATCTCACCCGAAGCCGTCATGTTGCTGTCGGTGAGTCGCCTGCCGGTCCATCCTGATACGAAGGCTCGCATAATGGCCTGAAACAATGGATTAGCATCCACTGCAACATCGAGTATCCAGTCTTTAAGAAAAACAGATGCTCACTGGGTTGCTGTATGAGGGGTACAAGTTATCGTCATCGACACCGCCGACTCTATACGTATCTGAGAATAGATCAGTGAGACGGTGTCCAAGTAGTCAATCAATAGTGACAACCGACCTCCTTTTGTAGTATTGTACAACGACTCCAGCACCATTTCCTGGGTGTCGTCACTCAATAATTCACCGAACTCTTCCAAGATCATGATAAAAGTCGTGCCGACAAAACCGCGCCAATTTGGATCCCACGAGTTGTAGATGACGGCCGGGTACACCGAACTCCCGACTTGGGGTTGTCCTGGGTACATTTCGTAGTCACCATACCACTGGTCCTGCTCGTTCTTGAACTGCGCCTGGATTATGTTACGAACAATCCTCTCAGCCTCGACTGCATCGCTGCCATTGTTACGCGCCAGTAGACCCAATGCATACCAGGCTGAGCTGCGCGTCTCATGTCGTAGTGCCACGGAGCCGGCGCAATCGTAAAGATAGCCGGCCGAGGGGTCGTACCAGGTGTCGAGCCATGCCATGGTCTCATTGAGAAGGCCTTGGGCTTTTGGCGGCATCAACGTCACGTAGGACGCTGTGCATATTTGGGCCAGTGCCGCGAGGGCTGGAATGGACAGCCTGTTCCACATTATGATAGACTGCAGATTGACTGGCGGCGATCTTCGAGCGAGTCAAATGAGGAAGAGGGTGCAGGAGCGCCATGGCCACCACATATATCTTGGGACATAGAGCAGTAGGCGATTCGAAGATATGAACAGAAGCAATGCAATACATGATACGGAAAACAGGGTAGGCGAGGGACGATGCCGTTTCGGGGATGGATGCCGGTGCGGAGAAGGCGGTGTGGTGCCGAAGTAGCGCGATCCGGCTCGAACCCCAGTGCTTCACGGCGAGATATGGCTAGTTATGCGGGTACGCAATCAAGATTGGGATTAGCTAATGCGACCTGCAATACTTGGACATACCGGCCCGAAGCAACGTTTGCGCGAAAGAGGGACATTGCGCCGGGATTTGGCACAAGTAGCTTGGTAGCGTCATGGTTCTCGCTTGCTGTGGAGTTGAGACCCGGAGAGAACTTGAACGTCAGGCATCACATGAAATGGTGATTTCAGTTGCTGCGTTACCACATTACTCTTGAGGTGGAGTACTTCAGTTGCTGTGGTTTCGACTTATTACAGAACGATGGAAGGTGGAAACTGTGGGATCGTACTGGTACTGGCATTCCGGCTACACACGAAGGTGAAGAAGGGAAGTACAGGTGGGGGGGGAAGGGGTCCAAGCCGTACAAAGGCACTTAAGTATCTTTGCCGTATCCCACGTGACCCTAGGCCACCAATTCCACAGAAACTGGCCAATTATATTAGAGAATAAGAACCGCGATATGGTGACTGGCATAAAACTGTGGATCCGAGTGTGGCCCTAGGCCCCACAAATGTGGAAATAAAGCCAACGCTGTTACCGCGTTACATAGAAACCTAGACTTATCATCAATCGATCCACGAATCAACAGATCTGACCACACAGCTGACTTGGCACGAATTCAATGAACTTGACATTCGTGACATGAGTCCAGTGCGGTAGATCGACCAGGATACACAAAACCATTCCTTGTCTTTTTTTTTATTTTATTCTAAAGAGAGTTGGTCCAATTTGCGAGCCGAGACCCCACGTCAGATATTTGAGCAAGTTCGCCATCATACGCCGTTCTAGAGTACACGAATGATGCCTGATACTCGAGTGCGAAATTGTCGGCAAAAGCACTGTGAATATAGGCACATCTCGTATATATTGGCCCGCCTATAACTTCGGTGTAGATCAGGGTCTCTCAGGCCTATAGGATGCATGAATGCAGCTAACCGCTCGGTTGGTATCTACTTTGGTTGGACTGACCCAAAAGCGTATTCACGTGGAGTAACAGTCTCGCTTCGAAACCGGCGTGTAATGTTTGGACAATTAAATCATATTTGGAATGGTACACAACCATATTGGGAGGTGCGCATCGTCTCATGACTCTACCCTATTCCACTACACCTTATCAGCATCGTTGGCGTTGATGTCAATAGTTGGTTTTATGCCGTGCTGCATAATAGGGCTATTGAAAAAGTTAGCGTAATCATGCAGTGCATCCGTCTGAACCCTCGAGACCTCCACCTCCTGAGCCCCTCTCCTAAGTACGTCGGCATCATAGGCATCCAAAGCATCCTTGATACTTCTGTCTGCATTTTTGACGGAAACCATGGCCGAAACAAACCGTTCACTGTCACAGATCGCGTTGTTGGCTCCTTGGCCCCGATCTACATCATATCGGCATTAGTGTTCGATTCGCCGGAAACGGGTTTATCGACTTACGAAATGTCATGCTGTGCGCTGCATCGCCACTCAAAGTCACCCTGCCACCACGGTTATCCCACTGCTTGGTGCCCCATATCTTGAGAGGCACTGGCTTTGCTTGAATATCCGTCGTAACCCATTCGACCGCAGACTTGTACGGGTCGGCCCATCCATTCATTCTCTGCCTCAGTTCATCCACGTAATTCCTATCCTCGACGACATCATTTTCGCCCTTGGGCCATGTGGCTAAGATGTAAAAGATCCATGTCTCGGGTCTCGAAAGGTCGGGCTTGTCGAGCAGGAATATGCCGATGTACATGGACTTGGGATGGATACCCACGTCGACGATGGGGTGCATCATCCTTTCCATCTTCCGGGCTTGTTCAGCAGGATACCGAATTGGGAAGTTGAGGAACATGTATGGCAAAACTTGGGCATCTGCTGCGTCTTCTAAAAGGAAGCGACGCACCCAGGACCCACCCCCATCAGAGCCAATGAGTACGCTGCCAGTTTCTGAGGTGCCATCCTGAAAATGCGCAGTGACTGAATCAGCCTCGAGAGTGATGCCTGTGATGGTCTTGCCAAATTTGACGTGCACACACTCGCCCCAAGATCTTCGGGTTTTCTGTATGTTCAGTCTCCTTACGCCGGGAAATGGTGGTTCAACCATTGTCTGGCCGGACTGCCCATCGCGAATGATGACACTTTCGCACCCAGCTTCCCTTGAGTCCAACGCAGGGTCTGGCTGGCATTCGTGGAGGCGATTCCACAGGTTTTCGGGCAAAAGTTTCTGGAGGAATGGATGGCTCCATGCGATGGTGACGCCCCAGTTTCTGTCACGGGGTGTGGATTCTTTATCGACTACGACGCAATCAATGTCATTCTGGTTTAATCAGTTGGTGTGTTACTCGCTGGAGTGGGATCCCACCTTTTTCAGCCCCTGTGCGATGGCAAGGCCGGACAGACCTTCAGAATGAGCCGAAGTTCACTAAGAATGGCGATAAGGATGCCTTCTAAAGACGTACCTGCGCCGATGACGATGACTCGCAATGGCTTTGACATTTCCTATCCAGAGCTGCTATCACGATGATGTGCGTTAGAACTAGGAATCGCTCGAACGGAACTCCGAGCTGAAGAGTTGAATTCACACCTGAGGCAATGAGTTTAAAAGAAGAGAAAGACGGGTAACACGTGCCAACATCCACAAATTAGCTCTATTTCTACTCGACTCCCAGGTCCTCAAGGTTTCACCACTAATTCATGGTGTGTGACACAACCTCGGAGTTGGATGGGGATCGTCCGGATGATGCAATATTCGCACATTTGACCTCCGCGATTAGAAAGGCCATGCCAGGAGAAACTGAGACACGACAAGTAGGCTGGGCCGTGGTAAGCTGCTGCTGCCCAGTTAAGCCAGACTATTGGATTGTGGGCAAATGGTCTTGTATTGAAAGTGTCATGATCTCTGGAGAGTCCTGAGAGAAGTGAAGGGCGGCCATAGAGGCCTTATATAGGTAGAAATGACTGATGCCTGCCCCACAGCCAGGACTTGTGTGGTTCAATGGGTAGAGGTCATATTGACCCATACCTTGTACGGTTTACGGCTTTACTTTTCTCCTTTGACTTAGCAGTCTTGACGGAGTAGCCTTGAAGGCCGACACAGACTTCAATAGTATCATGCACTGCAAAATGGTTACAGCGCCGCACTTTTACCACTGCTTGAGTCGCACGACTTCATAATGTCAATTAAGTGTCGGCCTTAGAAGGAGGATATCAGGAGTAGAGAAGTTACACAGACAGGTTGGTATAGATGAGTTGTACATTTGCCACATTACCATTTCGAGAGTACGTACCTTGCGAAAACTCAAAAGTCAATACGAAGCTGGCACTTTATTTTACAAAGACTGTGTACACAGAATGTGATTGTTGAAGTTGAAGAAATAACAACTGTTATAGCATCAAGTTAGCGCCGCCGCCGTCCAATCAATCCACTGCCCAGCAACAAAGTTGAACTTGCCATCTGTCTTCAACACATCAGTAGCCGTCGAGGTTTGGTTAAGCAGAAAGCGGTTGAAGAAAGCGGCCACCTCGGGATTTTGCGAACTGGGCATTTGACAATGCGAAGTCCCGTGGGATGCCTGTGAAAACCCCATGTGGTCTTTCACTCCCAGGGCGTCAAAGACCATACTCCCTGCTACCGAACATCCGTATGTACTGATGGGACCCAGGTAGTCAATTCCCGAATTTTCAATTACGAGGAGAGCGCGCGGTGCCACGAGCGCCTCGAGCATGTGATGATCGTAGGGAAGCGTATCAACCTTATTCACGTAGTCGGAAAAGGAGGTGGCAAACCAGCCATCACCCGTCACTATCTGCGGCGCATCCTCGACCTTTGTACCGTTCTTCTTCATATCCGCCGCGATGCGCCAACATCCTGGCCCACCCGAGCCGCCTTCTTGGGGGATGGTCAGGGCGATGCGGTCGTCAAAGGCCCCGGATATGAGAGCTCCCTTGCCGTTGCGCGAGCATCCCGTCACAGCCAGACGGGACGTGTCGATGGAAGTGGCGGCTGACCCGAGCGCTTCTAGCGCATCAATGAGGCGGCTTACTCCCCAAGCCCAGGCGATAAGGCCCCCAGCTCTGTGTGAAGAGCCATATAGTGTGTAGAATTTTCCTGAGGCTCGTGGCAGGTCGGCAGCAATGTCTTGATTGTTGTAGTTGATGACAGCGACACCCGCAGGAACGGGGATGGATGGCGCGCCCAGACCAATGATGGCTGGGAATGGTCCCTTGCCGCTCGTTGGCAGCTCGACCGAGACCGAGAAGGAGACCGACTTGCCGCCTTCGGAGCAGGTGATGGCAATGTTTCCACCCGAATACGTAGCCGTGACCGTCGGATTGGGAGGTTTGGGTCCCAGCTCGTACTGCTGGATCTCGGCGCGGATCTCAGCTCGCTTGCATGCCCATGCATCGTTGGTTCCCAGGCGCGTGCCACTCGACTGAAGAAAAGGGTCTGGCAGCTTGGAGTTCGACGGGTAGGCTGCATTGGTCGCAACTGGAGCGCAAGCTGATGGAGTTGACGCTACTTCTTGGCCAACCGTAAGAGACCCGAAGCCGAGGACGACGACCCCTGAAACTCTCATTGCGTTGGAATTTTTGTACTAATGTTTTCAAAAGTTGTTAAATGGAGAAAGGTATTGCTTCTGGCACTACCTGGCTACACTGTCTACATGTGGCCCTATGCAACAACTTAGGTATATATTAGAACCATCTCGTCTGATGTCGACATCTGCCGTTTATTATGGTTGGATTCAATAGTTTCTATCTCTGGCTTTGAGGCGGCTCCGATGGCTTAATACAAATAGCCTAATAAAGATAAACCGCTAGAAAGACTGCCTGTTAAAAGGTAAGACTTGAACCACGGTCTTATCATTATAATAAGTTATCAAGTAGGCGGGGAAGTCGGAGCCGCAACTCCGTGTCCGGGATCAATATATCACGGCTCGCTTGTCACCGAACTACCCAGATTACCGTGCTGTCAAGCTGTCCAATTGGAGTGTCTTGCTCTGAGCAGAGACCGAACCATACGTGCCACACAGCATTTCTCGTTCCGAGCTGGAAAGCATCTGTTTAAAGCTAGATACGGATCTTGGCCGTGGAGAACTTGTCCTTGACTCCTTGGCATAATGTTCGATGCTGGGTGATGCAGAGCACTAAAAGACCTTCGCTTTATTCTGGACTGCACAGAAATTCATCTATTCTAGCTTGAGGCCGGCAGATTTAAGAGTCTGTGGCAAAGCTGTGGTTACTGTATGTGTGTGTTGCGCTTGAAGTATACCTCAATGAGCAATGACGCCATCATCTAACCATAGGTGAGATCGCGACATACCTTCCCGCATAGTGTGTCCTCAATGAGAGAACTTTGTAAAATCATATTATAATGCATCAGCTGCTGTGCATATATATATGTGTGACGCTGTTACTCATCTGAGTGCGCTTACACAATATAGGGACTAGCTTCACTGCTGTGTCACAACTACACAGCTTCTACAAATGCGAATCGGTGATAAAAACAACGTTGACACAGAAATGGCTATGGACCTCAGAAAGCTATAAGCCTGCAGGGTTACTTCAAGCCCAACGGGCTTCTGTCTGTACTTAAGAACTGCAGCGCCCAAATTGTGATCAAATGAGTCTTGCCATGGGAATCTAATTTCTATTCGGCGCATATACTGCCCCGCCTGATGACTTCATCGAGACCTAGACTTGGCAGATGGGAAGGCTCGGGGAATCAAACAAATATGGACGGAGGTGTTTGGATCATAACAAGAGAACAGAGAACTTACATTAGTACTGCCTCGATGGTACGTTCAGATTGCCCCGGAGCAAGATAAATAGACATCGCAGCACATTATGACCACCCAGGAGGTGGTGAAGGAAAGTCTCAGTGAAGAAGTCTGAAACACTAGAGATCTGATTATCTGATTGAAAGGAGAAGTGTGACCCTGACCTTGATTCACAAAGCCATAGTTACATTTAGGTGTCCTGCATGTCTGCGACTCAACCAGAGTGATATCGAGCTCGGAAAAAAAGGTAACTTTTCATAACCCCAAGGTCATGTGAAATGACTCTTTTGCTCCAAAACAATTGCACCAGTTTGATTCTCTCATTGCCTTGGCATGCGCGTCTTTGTCCCCGTGGCAATTAAATCTGCATCCAGCCCCAGAGTTCTTCTGGTTCCTATATGGCTCAAAATAGCTGATGGTAGCACTTACAGGTGCGGGGGACGCATACAGGTAGACTATAACGTATTTCACCCCCATTCCGACACCCCTGTAAACCCCAACAATAACTACACCGCTATTTACATTATCCTTTTATTTCTCAACTACTTTTGCTTCAATTGACTTTATTCCAAGTATTCGATCTGATCTGCTATCAATGCCTTCATATACGGAAGAAGACCTCGCTGCCGCCGTTCTAGACGTCGCAAATGGTAAATCTGTGCGACGCGCTGGCCTGGATTGGGGTATACCAAGGACTACACTTATCGACAGACTTCAAGGCGCTGAATCAAGTCGCGAGGCCTCTGTTAGCCAGCAGAGGCTATCTCCAGTGCAAGAAAAACACTTAGCAGACTGGGTTTTGGTCCAGGAAGCCCTTGGACTAGCCCCAACGCACGCGCAAATCAAGGAGCTCGCGCAGCGCGTCCTAGCCCTCAAAGGTGACCACCAACCACTCGGCAAGAATTGGCTGGAAGCCTTTCTAAAGCGTCACCCAGCACTAAAGACTAAAAAGCAACGCCGTATCGACTCTCAGCGTATCAATGGCGCGTCTACCGAGGTAATCCAAGCCTGGTTTGCTTCAAAATTACGTATTCGTGCAATTCAAGCGATTAAGCCGCAATGGAGGTATAGTATGGATTAGCATGGCCTTATGGAGGGTCAAGGGGGCTCTGGGCTAGTTGTCGGGAGCGCTACCTTACGCGCAATACACCAGAAACAGCCTGGTTCGAGGGCGTGGACGTCAATTTTGGAATGTGTGGATGCCCTCGGCAATACCTTACCCCCCCCCTGGTTATTTTCAAGGGCAAGGACATCCAAGAGCAGTGGTTCCCTGATAAAAATCTTCAGGACTTCAAGGACTGACGCTTCAAGGCATCCCCCAAGGGCTGGACAGACGATACGATAGCTATCAAATGGCTTGAAGACGTTTTTATACCCCTTGCGCTTCCTCAGGACCCTTCAGACACTCGTTTACTTATTTTGGATGGTCACGGTAGTCACACAACTGGTACTTTTATGTCTCTTTGCTATCAAAACAACATATACTTATTATTTTTACCCCCACACTCATCTCATGTCCTTCAGCCCCTCGATGTTGGGGTGTTCTCAGCTATGAAAACAGTATATCGCAAGGAGGTCGGGTTTTTAACCCTATTAACTGATTCAGCACCTTTTGGCAAGCGGAATTTTATGCGCTGTCACGCCAGAGCACGCCAGAGGGCCCTAACGGCTCAAAATATCAAGTCTGGTTGGCGTACAAGTGGTCTATGGCCCCTAAATGTCGCTAGGCCCCTTACTAGCCCTCTTCTGCTTGAAAATAGCAACCGCACACGTCACGAAGGTCCAGATATTCTTATTACAACCCAGCAAGTCCAGAAAACGCTCCAGACGCCTTCAGAGGGCAATGTTGTATGGTCAACGCCAAAGAAGAGCGTAGATATAGAGCGCCAGTTTAGGGAGTTCAATCGACTTCAACAAACTAACATGACTACACAACGCCAGCTATTTAGAAAGATGAAAAAAGGGTTTGATGAGAAGGATTATCTATTAGTAAGCGCAGAATTACAAATTGAGGGCTTGAAACAGCGATTGGAGCTTATGAAGCCACGGAAAAAAAAGAAGGTGCAAATAAGTCCAAACGCGAAATTCGCAAGGATTGAGGACGTACGGCGGATGAGAGAAGTATCTAATGAAGCTCTTGTTGATGATTCGGGTTCAGAAATATCTAATGTATCTACTGTCGAAAGCGATTGTATAGTTGTTCAGAATTGAATTTGTGGTGGTTGTTTGAAATTGCAGTGTTATTCGTGGTGTTTTGTTTTATAGGGCGTCGGAATGGGGGTGAAATACGTTATATGAACCATAGACGACATTACCAAGGCTTCCTGATCTAATCACCTTTCACAGTGTTGATGTGGGCAAGGTCCTTCAGTTGACCCTTCCGTCTGAGCTTCTCGTAAGGCAAGAGCTTAATCGCTGACTTTTGTGGCGGCGGCACTACCGCTTTTTGGGGATTGAAGCTGTGGTCTAAAAGCGCCTCTTGCCTCTTTCCATCTTAGTCGGATTTGATCTCCCTTTGCCTTTTTTTTTCAGTGCCGACATCGGCCCAATAAATATCATCGGCGGTGCTGAAAACAATGAGAGAGTTGGACATGGTTGGTGTATATGCGATCGAAGGGTTTCATCATGGTGCCAGAGCCTAGAACAAAGTATTTATACCGTGGAAGAACAATGAAGTATTTTACTCATGACTTTAGGGTTGGGGCGATCCCATCAACCCCTTGCAGTCAATGGGATAGAATGAATTCACTATGGAGGAATCCATCTTTTAGAGATGGTTTTACATGTGTGCCCTGGCTGGCTGCTAAGCCATTATAGCTACGTCGTGAAGCTGTGTTATGTCACACAATGCGCAGCGAGGCGGCCAGGCGGCCGGACGGCCAATGGGCGAATCCTCCCTCGATAAATAACAGTAGTCCCGCATCATCGGGTGAATTACTCTAGGACTGCAGGTATATCTGCCCAAGGAGACCTCAATGTTCTAACTTCAGGAGAAATTTCTGCGCCAGGAACTGAGCGCATCCCATGATAGTGATTCATTTAGTGATTCATTTATGCTCCCGCTAAAACCTAATATTTTAATTACTACGGCGAGCAACGGCAAAGAATGTGGGCTTCCCATAAAAGGTGTTGTAACCCATGCGCCCACGCTTTCCGGCGCTCGATGCAAGTGCCATACGTAGAGGATATGAGATTCAACACCAAAGACTCCCCACATCGCGAAGATTTTGATGCTCTGCGAGGATATTGCATGCTTAATTTGACGAATACCGCGTGTGCAGCCCATGCCACCGCTCTTTTCATCCCATTGGACTGGCATATATAATTCAACAAGTCCAGGGATCATGTACGAGTAGACCGAGCTTTGATTCAATACCGAAATGTGACTAAATATCCACAGCAATTCCACTGGTAGCGAGTTTACTATGGTCCAGATCGATTTCCCGTTGTTTCACGGATTCATCCACATGAGCATGCCAGTACGACATGCGATCGCGGACCGACTTCTCGTACTCGGGCATGGTCATGACGGCCTTGGCCAGCGTGCCAAAGGCGCCCCGGGCCAGCATGCTCGTCTGCTCCTGCACGCGATTGAGAATGGACAGAGTGCCCTGGTCGAAGTACAGACCAGCATGGCGCATCTCCTCCATCAGATCCAGCATCTTCGACAGGTCCCCATGACGCCCGTAGAAAATCTCGAGGAGTTCGTTGTAGAAGGGGGTTGAGACGCCTAAGATGAAAGACTCGAGGCCGAGCTCCTTAATGCGCGGCAGGACGGAAAGGGCGAGGGGCGACGATGCGGTAAAAGAGGTGTCGAGGAGTCGAAGGCCGAGGAGGAGGAATTGGGGATACAGCGGACCGTAGACGTAGAGGTTGAGCCTATGCTCGGTACCATCCACTGCCTCAGCCGACCGTTTCCATGAAATTTCCTCGTCTTCTTTCAGTCCCTGCTGTTGTTGCTTCTGCTCCTTGTTGCTGATTTTGGAAGCCTTAGTACGATTGTCACCGGTCGAGCGAGCATCGGGCTGGGGGCTTCGAATGCCGAGCTTCTCGGGGAGGGTAAAAACCTCCCTCTCCATAATTTGCCAAAGCTCAAAGTCGGACTTCGCCGCGTACATCAAATCCTCGACCCTTCTCCGCTCGGGCTCCCTTTGGGCGTCGAGCTCGGCCTGACGCATCTTGTCCTTAATCATCCATTCCGCGGCATGGGTGCCGTTTCCCCCGCCTTCTGCTAAGGAGTATACGGAGGGGGCACCAGGCATGCGGGCGCCAGATTGCATTGGCTCCATGAGGTCGAGGGACTTGCGGGCAGCGGCGCGTAGAGAAGGCGGGAAACGTTGAAGGGCCTTGATGCGATCCTTGGCAGCGCCGGCCTCGACAGCAGGCGAGACGATGGAGCTAGGTCGTTTGGAAAAGTCGATGTCGGCAGCGGCGGACTCGAGAATCATGTTGATAGATCGCTGGGCTTTGGCGGTGGGCGGTTGGGAAGGTGGATTTTGGTGTTGTTGCCGGGGACGGAGGCCACGGGCGGCAATATCGGCGAAGATGCGATCGAAGATGCCGCGCTCGGTGGGAGTGATGGTGCCGCGCAATGGAGTCTCCTCCCCATCGACATTTTCGACTGGGATATATTCTCGCAGGTTGTCGTCGGCGAAGGGGATGTCGGTGCCCGGGTCTTTGCGTTTTTTTGGAGCAAGGCAGGGTCGGGCTGAATGAAATGAACGTCGGAGGGCCGCGACTGGCACTTGACGAGGACGGAGCATTGTCCGGGTTTGGTATAGGAATGGTAAAAGTGTTGTAGACATATTGTTGCTTTTTGCACTTGAGCGAAGTTTGCGCCTTCATAGCAAAGTTCAACAATTGCAATTCTAACAGTAACAGTTACATGCGTGCTCCTTATCGATAAAAGCTCCAAGGGAGAATAGTGTACTGCCAAGAAGTGCTATGAAACTACGGGTCTAGCGTCAGATTTGGTGTCGTTAGTGTGTCTACCCTGACGCGCTGCCTACTGACTCCGTGTCGCGTATCTTTAATTTAATTTGCCTTCATCGCATCATTTAGATCCAGCTTCACTTTGCATTTCTAATATTTCTAATTTGAAGATCATTTTACCCACGCACTCAAAATTTGTACGTACTCGTAACGCCAGGCTGATAGATTCTCATCTCAATCTCCTTAGTCATTCAGGGTGCATTGCAATGGTTGTCTATTGTATTACAAGTTATCTTTGCGACGATCAATCATAACCAATCATACCCAACAATCCCTTCCCCAGCAACCCTCACCTCGAGCTGCTTTAGGTCTCGGATCTTCCCATATTCAGCCATGGCTCCCGAAGCCGTCAGTGCCTTTGAGGCACGAAGGCGAGCCAACTTGGCCAACAATGCCAAACTACTCAAGGAAACTAACGAGACGGGTGCCAAAATGGCAAAGGCTGCGAGACCAGCTCCAAGGCCCGCAGCACCGCGCAAGAGGAAGGCACTGGAGCCAGCTGTTCCCACGCGGGTCATGCCTACACGTCGGAGTGCGCGTGTCTCTGGTGCCACAGACACTCAATTTGAGTCCATTAAATCAGAGTATGAAGTGAAGGCCGCTGAGGCTCCTACCAAACGCATCCGCAAGGGAGGTGATATGAACCTGTCAGGACTGGTGCTTGATGCGCGATGGGCTAATGGCACTGAGGCTTTGGCTAGTTTTGCGCAAGGAGCTCAGCCGGGAGTAAGGACGTTTACAGAGGAAGATGTCAAGGACATGTCAGATGAAAAGTTAAAGGATGTCAGGAAAGGCATGAGCGAGCTCGAGCTCTACGACGGGTGGCAAGTCAACGGTCAGTCTTCACCGCGATGCTACATCAAATATGCTTTGGGCATTGTTGGCTGACCAAACCCAACGCAGATATCAAGCTCACACCCGAGCGAGTTTATGCGCTGGCCTTTCACCCTATTAAGGACAAGCCTGTTGTCATAGCCGGCGACAAAAATGGCATTCTGGGAGTATTTGATGCCTCCCAGGAAAAGCCAAACTACGTCGACGATGCAGATATTCCCATCCCCATCGTCTCGGCATTTCAGATGCACTCCAGGACCATCTCAGCCATCATCACGCCCCAATATGACCAAAACTCCATCATCACGTCCTCATATGACTCGTCCATCCGCTGTCTGGATCTTTCCACACAAGTCAGCACTCAGCTCTGGGCACCCGATGACGACAGCGAAGAACTACCCATCACATGTGTCGATGTGTCTCCCGAGCAAAAGGATGTCTTTGTCTTCTCCACCATGAATGGCTCCGTCGGGCGGTTCGACCGACGAGCCAAAGACAAAGCCGAGATATGGAGTTTGACCGACAACAAGATTGGAGGATTTGCCCTGCATCCTCTCATACCCCACCTCTTTGCCACTGCTTCCCTCGACCGGACCCTCAAACTCTGGGACCTGCGCATGTTCAAGGGCGAAGGCGACATGCGCCATCCATCCCTCTTGGGCGAACATACCTCGCGCCTGTCCGTCTCGCACGCTTCGTGGAGTCGTGGTGGTCATATCGCCACGTCATCCTATGACGACACCATCAAGATCTACGACTTTTCCGAGGCAATGAAGTGGAAACCCGGCCACGGCATCGTTGAAGATGATATGGGGCCCACGCACTCTATTCGCCATAACAACCAAACCGGCCGATGGGTGACCATATTGAAACCAAAGTGGCAGGCGAATCCGACCGATGGAATTGAAAAGTTCGCCATCGCGAATATGAATCGGTTTGTGGATGTGTACGATAGCAACGGGAAACAGCTTGCACAGCTGGATGGACAAGGCATTACAGCTGTGCCGGCCGTTGCGGAATTTCACCCCACGCATAACTGGGTTGCAGGTGGCACCGGAAGTGGGAAACTGTGCCTATGGATGTGAGAATGACTTTACTTAAGGACTAGTCAATATGACTAGCACGCATGTGCTCAGACCGGTGGCGATGTACCATTTCAACTACTAGTTCAAGGCTACCTCCAGATTTATATGAAGGCCAAAAAAGGATGTTTCCTTTTCTTTTTCTATGATGGTTACTTCTGGTTTGAGGCGGGGTTTTGTAGCCCTGTACTTGGCCGTACCTTCCCATCTCCTCCAAGGCTTCCCGTATGTCTCTGAAGGGTATTCATGAAGATCGCATTTGTGATACGCAGCCAAAGCTCCGGAATGGAAACACCCTGATTCTATTATCGGACCCTGGGGTTGGTTTGTCTCCAGTAGGTTAATCTTGTAGCTTAGATAACTAGGTACTACTACCTAAGCTATAGGAATCTATAGAATTAAAACTATTATTATTATTATTATTAAATACGCCGTAGGCTCGAAGCCCCCGGTACCTCTACTAGTACTCCCGTATGTCAAACCGTGCCCTAATGGCTGGACTAAATACATACGCTGCGTCGTCGGTTCGCCCTATTGGCGACTGCGTTACGTCCACTACCATACTACGTTGGTTCTCAACCTACCAACAAAGTCCCCCCTGAGAAGATTGATGCTATCTGGGCCTTGAAGCTGTCCGACCCGTCCCTAGCAGCCACCTTACAATAGTCCCACTAACTACTGGTCCTCCTGTTGCCGTTGCGAGGTCTCTGCGAGAGTATAGTGGCCGTGGTGCGATGGCGGCCCGTAATCGTTCCCTCGGTCCTTCCAACAGCCCGCCAAAGAGGATTACGTGCTCTGCCGTCTCAGGGGCGTCGCAACAGCGGCATAGCGGCAATTAAAACTATCTTTATCTGTTTAACGTCCCCTACGGTCTAGCGAAATACTTTTTAAAACCTTAAATAATAACGTGAATGTACACCGAGCTGGCCATGACACCGAGCTGGCCATTTTCATGCGCCAACGCGACCGGCCAACTTAATGTTTGATTTTCTCAACAACCAATTATGGCAAAGTCATACAACGAAGCAGACTTAATGCTAGCCCTTCAAGCTCTCAAAAATGACCAAAAACTTAGTCTCCGACAAGCGGCAAAAACGTACCAAGTCCCCCGAAGCACCCTCCAAACGCGTAAAAACGGCGTACCTTTCCGACGCGATAGTTTGCCCAATTCACGAACTATGATAGAATTAGAAGAGGAGGTAATTATCAAGCATATACTGGACTTAGATGCACGAGCGTTTCCGCCCCGGATTGCTGATGTGGAAGCAATGGCAAATTCTATCCGCGCGACACGTAACGCAGGGCCCATTGGAACGCGCTGGGCCTCGAGGTTCGTCGCACGTCGCAAAGAGTTGAAAACTCGTTGGAACCGTCCTTACGATTACCAAAGGGCCCAATGCGAAGATCCAAAGCTTATTGCAGATTGGTTTCGGCTTGTTGCGAATGTTATCGCGAAATACGGTATCGTTGTTGCGGGCCGATACCACCTCTCTTCTTGGTACGAAGACGACAACATTCCGAAAGATTGGAGAATTAGACCTAGTCCAAAAGGATGGACGACTAATGAGATCGGTATGGAATTTATTAAACACTTCGATAATTGTACGAAAGATGGAAAGTCCGGGATATATCGATTGTTAGTGTTGGACGGTCACGAGAGCCACGTTTCCGGCGATTTCGAGCTATATTGCAAAGAACACAAAATTGTAACTTTGTGTATGCCTCCGCACTCATCTCACATCCTCCAGCCACTTGACGTGGCCTGTTTCGGTCCATTAAAGCGGGTGTACGGCCAGATGGTAGAGAAATTGATACGCCGGTCCCCAGAAATCGCAACCCGACCGTGGGTATCAAAGACGCCACAGAACCCGATAGAGGTTCATGCACAGTCTACTTTTTTGAAAAAGCGCATCTCCGAGCATCAGAATAGCTCTCCGACGAATATTTTCTCAGCTGTCGACCAGTTTGCGAAGGGAGCAAAAATGATAATGCACGAGCTCGCCCTCGTACGGGCCGAGTGCGCTGAGCTTCGAGAGGCAAATAAGATGCTAAGCCGGCGCCGGAGGACTAAAACAATGCAATTACGGGAAGTAGAATCACTTATTTTCCAACAAGGACAGGACCTACGGGACTCTAGGGAGTTGGCGACGCAGATACAGCAAGAAGAGCGCCGAAATGGTGGTCGCGCAAAGCGTGTTGAAACGCGCCCGAGGCGCTGTGGTATTTGCAACGGGACTGGGCATAATGCGCGAACTTGTAAGATCGCATTGCCATCTTCTGGAGAGGAAGATTCAGAATAGTTTCAACTGATTTACGGCGTTGTGGTTTTACTATCGTAAAATTTCTATGCGAGGTTATGTAAGGGTGGCCAGCTCGGTGTACGTTCACGTTATGTATAACGTCACCCACAGGTCATTGCCCCACACGGGTCTTTGCCCAACTTTTCAACAAATTTTGACTTTCCATCTTTACTTATACAATTCTTCCCTTCCACAACATGGCACGCAAATCTAGTGAAGCTAATCTTCAATTAGTCATCCAAACTAAACGACGCGATCCTCACCTAAGTTGGAACAAGCTTGGTAAAATCTTCAAAGTCGACCATAAGACATTGAAGCGCCGTTACGAAGGCGTACAACCATTACACATTACTAACATGTCCAAACGGAAAATGACCGAAACCGAAGAGAATACGATTACCCGACGCGTAATTGAGCTAGATTCGCGAACTTTTCCTCCCCGGCTTCGATACGTTGAAGAAATGGCGAATATCCTCCGACGCGACCGCGACGCGTCACCCGTCGGCAAGAACTGGGCCTCGAGCTTCGTACGGCGACAACCAGACCTCCGGACGCGTTTAAATCGTCGAATCGATTACCAGCGGGCATTCTGGGGAACATCCTGTCGCGTATCGCGGTTATTTTAAGCGTGTTGCGGACACAATAGCGAAGCACGGCATCCAGCCGGAGGATATCTACAACTTTGACGAGACGGGCTTTTTAATGGGCATGATCTCAACCGGCATGGTCGTTACGAGTACCGAAAGACGTGGAAGGCCTAGGCAAGCCCAGCAAGGCAATAGGGAATGGGTTACTGTCATTCAGGCGGCCAATTCCCAAGGCTGGGCGGTGCCGCCGTACATCATCTTCGCGGCCAAAGTTCACCTCGCTTCGTGGTATCGCGACACCACATTACCGGGCAATTGGGTCGTTGATCTATCCCACAACGGATGGACAACGAATGATATTGGTCTCAGCTGGGCAGCTCACTTCGATCTGCACACACGCGATCGTACGAAGGGTGTCAAACGCCTCCTGATCCTTGACGGTCACGAAAGCCATCACTCGATGGATTTCGAACAATACTGCAAGGACCATGGCATCATTACCCTTCCTATGCCTGCCCATTCGTCCCATAAGCTCCAGCCTCTCGACTTGGTGCCTTTTAGTGTTTTGAAACGGACGTACGGTGTGTTGAGGGTTTGATGCGACGGCATCATACCCACATTGCGAAGGAGGATTTCCTTGCCGGTTTTTTGGAGGCGTTTGGCGCTGCTTTTACTGAACAAAACATCAGATCTGGTTTCGAAGCAGCTGGGATTGTCCCTTTTGACCCCGACAGGGTTATATCTGCCCTGGATGTTGCAGAAGTCGCGCGTACACCCTCTGCCGACCCAGAACTCCTACCCCCTATTTGGACTTCTAAGACACCTACTACCACCCTTGAAGCCGAATCGCAGTCAACGTTGATTAAGAATAGCGTTCAGAGGCATCAAGACGGCTCTCCGACGCATATTCTTCATTCAATTGACTCGATTGCAAAGGCTACGCATGCAATGATGCAAGAGAATGTTATCTTGCGTCGCGAGAACGAAGAGCTTCGTGAGACTAACCATGTGCTACGCAAACGTCGCAGAACCAAAAACAAGCAAATCCAGTATGGTGGGCCACTTAATATAGAAGATGCACAATTTCTACGGGCTATTAGGGGTGATACGGGTTTGGAAAGTGAGGAAGAGGGTGAAAGTAGTCGTCCTACAAGGAGGAGGGCAACGGGTGCTAGGCGCTGTGGCATTTGTGGAGGAACTGGGCATAATGCGCGAACTTGTCAGGCAGATGTAGAAACAGATAATGAAAAGAATTCTGATTAATTTCTTGCATGAATACAGGTTGTTGTTGATCTATCTAAGATGAAAGGTTGGGAGGTCGTGAAAAGTTGGGCAAAGACCCGTGTGGGGCATTGACCTGTGGGTGACGTTACATTTAGACGTAGCTTTCAACAATCTATCATTTTTTCCTTGTCTTAGCCTTGACGACTACAGGAGGCTTCATCTTGTCCTGATAAGACCAATCCAGTGCTATTAACAGCTTCAATTCGACTTCCAGAGTCAGGCGTCCTATTCTGAGAATTGTCCCGTCGTTGATTATAGAGACATATCCGACCAATTTGCGCACAAGACCTGCAGGAGCGGAGCTTCTACGACCAGGACTACGATCTTCGTCTGACCAGAACGTCAGACGGAATTTTTCGGTGCTGGATCCATCTTGTCAGTGTGTTAGGTAGTGGGTATACCCTACTAACCGCCTAACCCTGTTTCACTACCTCGGAGGAACGCAGGGTTAGCCATCGATCGTATCGCTGGCATTTTGACCCACTCTCGCTCGCTGACCAGCGAGCGGCCTTAAGGACGCTCGTCGAGCGTTGACGTATCGCTAGGTGGGTCGCTCGGCGAGAGGATTCAAAGCTGCTCGCCGAACTCAGCGAGAGGATCGGCGAGCTCGGCGAGAATGGTGATAGTTTTTGGTGTTTTGGTATTACTACATAACCTCGTCGTCCAGCCCTGAGAGGCCAGCTGCTCTTACAACAAGCCGCCAATCATTATTATCCACCAAATGGAGGGGAATTTGTGATGTGTGCACGCCATTCAGACTCCAAGACCGTATGCTCTGGGCCTGTGATACGATCCATCGGCTTAGGCAATTCCTCAACGGACTCAACATACGCCCTGCGCTGTTGAATTGACGCTCAGTCTCGCATGTTGACGGAGGTATAGTAAGGTAATCTATAGCCATATAGCTAAGCCGAGGAAAACGTCGCTGACCAACATCCCTCCACCATCGTATTGGGTTATCCTTGTATACTGCGATGTCGCAGACTGGCTCGGCGAGGTATAGATCGAGCTCATCTTCGATTAGCGGCAGCGGTTGGGTAACTTGGGCCGGACGCTTCGCCCTAGACTTGTATATCTTCGTCCTTCTTGTCGCCTGGGTATTCTGTATGCTTTGCGTACCGGGGTCGGGTATCGTGGAGTTGTTACTACGTTGCCTAAAGAATAGACGTCTTTGAGCAAAGCTCATCGAGGCCACGCTCTGCTCAGTTGGACGCTCGCTGGTAATTACGTCCCTATGGCACATCTCTAATTAGTCATTATCGCACAAGAGCACGCTAACTTACTTGGTACTATAGTTATTAACCCACTCCATCCTTAGCTTGCCCATTACGTCAGCCCTCCACGTATCTTGCTGCCGACAAGGTATCGACGACCAGGCGTCGTCGAGATGCTTCATCTTTCGGCAAGGATGGAAGATTACGGCAGCATAGTACGCGAGCCCCGTCATCTTGGTATAGAACTCGTCGAGCTTTTTCCAACCAAGACGCAAAAAAACCTGGAGTGTGCGGCGCGTTTTAAGGTCAAGTCCTGTAAAGAAATCGCGTATTAGTACTAGTTAAGGGAAAAGTTAAGCGCCATACCTTCAAAGATTGGGATATCTTCACCATTTAGCTGACCATTGTGAGACCTCTTTTCTATATAGACAACGCCCTCATTGGCAGAGCGCTCGAGATGGTCAAGCAAGATCTCGAATGAAGGGAAGTAATCCCACATGCCGCCGGCCTTGCCCTCCTCGTCATCGTTGACAACAGCGCGCGATTGCAGGCTTTTTGAGATAACTGTGAAGTCCCTTAATACGAGCTGAACAGCCCGGATCACGCGCCAATCATTGGTAGTAAGGCCATACTTGAGGATCTAATCAGGCTAACATTGTCATCGAAGAACAGGTCAACGTCATCCTGTAAATCGGTCGGAATTGGAGATTGCGAGGCATTGGCTTTATTGGCAATTAGTTAGGGGACTCTAACGGTCCTAAACACCAAAATAGGGTCACGATACCACTCTAGCTCCACTTTCTTAGCTTCAACCCCTGTCAACAGGGCCCGACCCCTAGTAACTTCCAGGGGCACCCTACTCTCGCCGAGACTTAGCGAGCGATCCAGGTCAAGACCTCTCGCCGCGAGAATTTGCAAAGCCATTATCACTCGTCGAGATCTTGAGTATGCCAGACCCACTCGGCGATACGCTCGTTCTTGGCGCCAAGGCTCGCCGATCCCCTCGGCGAGCGCTCAATCGATGGCTAACCCTGGAGGAACGATTACCTATTCCTATGTAAAATTATACTAGCAGTTAATCGACTATAATAGAGGATAACTAGATATATTAAACAATTAGTAGAAGCCCTATTTGTTAGTCAGATACACGTGTAAAAGAACAATTACAGCACCTAGCGCGGCGTAAAAGATTAGGACCTTGTGAAAAGAAAACCTCGCTATTTATGTTTCCTATCTACTTTCTACTTTATTGTATGACCTACTGCAGGGCGTGTATTGTATACATTGCTCCTAATTTCTCCTGTCATCCTTAATCAATTCAGCTGCCTTCTCAGCAACTGCATATACCGTTGACTGAATATTTCCCAGCGGCTGGATAGGAAAAATACTAGCATCAACAACACGAATATTGCTTGTTCCGTATACAACCAAGCGCTGATTCACAACGCCACCCTGGTTTTTAGGCAGCATGGCACAGCTGCCGGCCACGTGGAACATAGAGATCTGGCGCTGACGAACGATCTTTTTAGCTTGTTCCAGATCGTTAGCGACGATGTTGGGATGCCGCTTGCCACCAAGCTTCAGTACCGCTGACTTGAAGGGCTCAGTGCTGACGATTTTCTCCACAAACTGGACACCGCGGGCCAGGATTTCTATGTCAAGGGGGTGGGAGTTGTACTTCGGGTCCCAGACGGGCTTGACGTTCACATCGGGGGATGTAATGTGGACCGAGCCGCGCGAGAAAGGATGATTCAGGACCGTCATGAGGGTTGTATAATTTTCCGGCTCGGCTGGGATGATTATTTCAGCCATGCTCTTCGGCTTGTCCGATATGGAGACCTGAGAAGGAAAGAGTAGGTACTCCACGGCGGGCTCGTCGGGTTCCTCTAGTATGGAACGAAGGAGGTCAAACTGAGGGTTTGACTGTTGCAAACAGGTATCCAGAAGCTTTTTCTTGGCTTCGGCGGAAACAGGACCCGAGTTGTCCGATAATGGAACGTAGGCAGCGCTGATGGTACTCTGTCCTAGAGGTCCAGCACCTGCCGACGTGTTATACATTTCCATGAGCGTATTAAGAACATTTGCGTCTCTAAGCACATCCCCCGATGGAACGGCGTTGTTGACCTCGAAACTTTGGCACACAATTGGATGGTCCTGTAGGTTCTCCCCGACATTTGGGTTATCGACGACGACGGGGATTCCGTGGCTCTCAAGCAAGTTTCGACCGCCAATACCGGAAAGCTCTAAGATCTGTGGAGACTGGAATGCTCCGGCGGCAAGAATGACCTCTAAGCGAGCAGATATTGTCTTCTCCCCATCCTTAGTCTGTATAACGACGGCTTTCGCGACAACTGCGCCTTCCTCCTTCTCCGTCAGAATCCTTTTAACAACCGCCTCAGTCAGCACAACCAAGTTCGACCTCTCGCGCACAACTGGTCCAAGATAGGCCGTTGCAGCAAAGCTCCTGGTCTTTGTACTTGGGTCGATAGTGGCCGGATTTTGAAATGCCCCGATAGCCTTACCACTTCGCGGGTCTGTCGTCATTTCCAGGCCAAGTTTCGAGAAAGTTTCCATCCACGCCCCGTTCATAGTAGCAGTGTAACCATCTCCGAAAGAAATTTGCAGCGGTCCGTTGCTAGAAAGAGTCTGGTCATGGTACCGATCCAGGCCGGTGATTTGCCTGGCAGACTCGCTTGGGGTGTGAACGGTGCTGGCCTTGCTGAAATACGGTGCAAGCATGTCGTAGGACCAGCCAGCGTTACCGAGCTTGCCCCAGGCGTCAATGTTGGCACGCGAAGGGTAGAGCATCACCAGAAAGTTGAGCGCCGACGAACCACCAAGTTGGCGTCCTCTGGCCTGATTAACCTGGCGGTTGTCCAAAGTTGGCTGCTAGCATCAGTTTCTCATTCTAAAAATGTCTAGGGAAATCAGAAAACTCACTTGAGGAATCGACGAGAAATTCCAATCATATTCCTTGCGGCCATATTGACCTGCCATAAGACCAGGTGTCAATACAAGAGGGTCGTCGCTGTGGTCGGGGCCTGCCTCGACCACTAACACACGGACGTGTGCATCTTCGCTGAGACGCGAAGCTACAGTTGAACCTGCCGTTCCTCCGCCAACAATAATGTAATCAAACGAATTATCGAGATTTGGGGTCGTCATCTTCGGTGTAATAACTGCCACATTGGCTGTGCGATAGTCAAAGTAAATATACCGTGTAGAGGATCCGGCGTAGTAGATATAGAAGTCTGGTAGCGGCACGGGACTGAAATTAGCACATAGGACTGAGGGAAAGTAACGGACTATATAGGTCTATGGTGGTACATACAAGCGTCAGAGTGGAGTACTTTGTCATGCAAGGATAAGTACACCCGGATATTGTCCGCGTCTAACCCTCGACGGCTAGGCGATCTACTGCTGACGTGAGCACTTGTGGTGTGGAGATTTATGGATTGGCTTACGAGTGGAACATCGTCTGCACCACCCAGGGTTCATATGCTATATAGCAATCTTAACTACCCGTGCCACACCCCACTTATTTCATATTCGCTTAAGTGTAAAGAAACCTCTAATAGTCTAGCTGCGTAAACCACTAAAGAGTCTGTAAGGGTTTGTGCTAGTAAGTAAGTCCTCTGCGGAGTCCTCAAGCAATAATATCGGGGTTTGACGTATGGAGTAGAGTGCTTTGGGTAACTGAAGTATTCAAGTAGGGTAATCGGGAATAGAGTCGTTAAGGCAGTTTGCCTCACCAATGGGTTAGATTGATGCTTAGATTGATCACTGAAGTAGAGACTGTCTATCTATGAAATGTAAGGAAATTTGGGCAAACAATTTGGAAAGGAATATGTCAGGGACTTGGCGATAGTGTCCCTCTGCTATTCTTCAAGTGATCAGAGGCTTGTAGCTATAGCCGTAGTTGTGGCTGGATCCTGGCCTTCTAGCCGCATCTCTGGTGGTGACGGCACTAGATTCAGCTTCTGAAGGAATCGTTGGTGCTGCTGGGGCCTTAAGGCCTTGGTAAGTCCATCCGCGGCGACGTTGGCTGACTTCTAGTAAGTCAAGTCCATAGTGCCTCTCTGGTATTCCTGGCGTAGCCAGTGGTTGTGAATATCGATGTGCCTTAGCTTCGTCTGTAATTTGGCGTTTTCTTCTACAATAAGCCAAATCGTCTGGTTGTTGTCAACTTCGATAGTTAACTGTTCATCCAGATCGACGCTCAATTGGTGTAGTTGCCTTTCAAGGGCTATAACTTCCTTGACGGTGGCTGCCACCCCCTTGAGCTCGGCCTCCGTACTCGAGGTGACTACCGTATCTTGCTTACTGGATCGCCAAGCTATCGGTCTGCCGAAGAGCTTGATAACATATCCCATAGTGGACTTTCGGTCAGTGTGGTCCCCAAAGGACGCATCACTTGACACTACGAGATTACGGGGCTGCTGGCCATCCTGTTCCTCCGTGCCCTTTGGAATTGTAGCACAGGACCATCCGTATTCGAGTACTAGATCTTTCGTGCCGGATAGGTACTGTATGACTTGGTCGATGGCGGCTTGGTGATGTGGGCCAGGATTCTGGCTGTATTGAGCCAGTCTGGAGACGGCCTCTGCGACGTCCGGTCGTGAGGTTATCGCTGCGTACAGTACGCTACCGACCTTCCTCTGATACAGTCGTTTGGTATCTTCGTCAGCCTGGCCGTCGAAACGCTTCAGCTCATGGTAGGGGTTTCTAGGCACTTCTGGATAGTTGCCAACCGTCTGAATTTGGTACTGTCGAACCAATTTGTCAATATACGACCTCTGTGACAGCCATAGGCGCCGAGTGGCCCTGTCCCTAGCCACTTGTATGCCAAGGAACCATTTTAGGTCCCCTAAATCCTTCATCCGGAATCGCCCGCTTATCTTGGTGACAAGTTCGTCGGCCCTGGGCCTATCTTGGGGTCGGAAGAGGAGGCAGATGTCGTCGACATAGAAGAATAAGATGAGCCAGGCGTTAGAGTAGATACAGCCGTCCTCCGGCACGGCCTTGAGCCCCAGATCGGTCAGTCCTGCTCCCAGGTCTCTTTGCCACAGCAATGGGGAGCGGCGTAGGCCGTAGAGCGCTCTCTTCAATCGTAGGCAGTATCCTGGCTGCTTAAAGCCGTCAGGGAATCGGACGTACACAATCTCGTCTAATTCTGCGTGCGTAAACGCGTTTATTGCGTCCAATTGGCGCATATCCAAGTCGAATTTAGCTGCGATTGCCATAAGCGTACGGAAAGATCGTCCGGCTAGTGTGCTGGCGTATGTGCTGAGAGACGAGCTTGGCTGTAAGTCACCTCTTACAACTAGGCGAGCCTTGTATCGTACTACGTATCCGTGCTTATCAAATTTATACGTGAATACCCACATCAGAGGGATAATGAAGTGTCCTGCCGCTTCGGCAATTGGTTTTCTTTCCCAGGATACTTCGTTGACGCTGTGGAATTCGGTGTTGACCGCTTCCAGACAGTTAACCCTTAGAGGATGTCTCATCATCTCCTCCCAATTCTTTGGGGGAGGGGGGACGTCCCTGCGATGTAGACTCTTATGGTGATGGGCGACAGAAAAGGCAAGATAGCTGGTAGGCATAATATCTGGCATTGAGAAGCTCTCTCGATCCAATTCCCGTACCAGGGAGGATCGATCCTGGATCTAAGGCGTTCAGGTCCCTGGATCCTCGACCGGTAGCATGAGGGATCTGTACGTCGGCTGGAGTGATTAGCGATTGAGGGGTCTGTTCTGGTGTAATTGGGGCCCATTGGTCCTCCTTGCTAGAGAGACTGGATATTTGGGATGCCGGCTGAGGTGGACTTTCGGCCTCTGGAGTTGTGGCCACGATGATTTCGTCCAGGATGACTTCATCCTCTTCTCCAGGCCTTTCTCTCACCCCCTCAGCGAAGCCGGTCACGGGCTCAGGAATCTGGAGTCCTTGAATGGCCTGGCCTATGGACTCCACCTGTGTGATCGGTACTAGTGCGTCCTGTGGCTTGTAAAAGACATCCTCGTCGAATTTGACGTCTCTGGTCATTATGACCTTGCCTAGGTGAGGTACCCACACCTTGTAGATGTTGGACGCGGCGTAACCCACAAGGTAGCCTACTTGTGTCCGTGGAGCCATCTTATCGAGCCGATTGGACCCCTTGGCGTACTGCTTTGTAAGGGAGTAGCAGAGACATCCGAATGCCCTCAGGTGGCTGATTTCTGGCCTGTAGTCTTCTTCTTGACGGCCTTTCCTCTGTGCCAGCCAGCGATTCGTCGCTTCCAGAGGGGTCCTCCATCCTAGGGCTTTTGATGGGGAGCGATTGAACAAGTACGTGGCTGTCTCTACGGCCTCTGGGTGTAGACTGGCTGGTAGGCCGGCGCCTATGATCATGGCTCTAGCCCTTGCGTTCAGGACGCCTCCAGCTCTTTCTACAGCCCCATTGGGTTCCTTGGTGTACGGCGGCGTGTGTTCCCAGATAATTCCCTTGCGTAATGCAAGCTCTTTCAGGCTATTCCCAAAAGCGGCCTCGTTGTCTGATGTGATAACCTTGACCTTGACCTCTAGTTGTGTCTCAATGAATCCTATTAGGCTGATCAGAGCGTTCATAGCCTCTTTTTTACGACGGAAGGTGTAGGCGAATTTCACTCCGAAGAGCGTACATGTCCCGATCAGGGCTCTAGTACGCTGGTCATAGGCAGGGAGGTACTCGAAGAGGTCCACTGCTATGTGCTCGAATGGTCCATGTCTCTTGGATCGTGGCCTTCGAGAGACGACCTTCCTTCCCTTGGCTAGGGCACAATCCTTACATTGGATTGACTATGGTGCGGTAATCTTGGCCCCAGTAGTCGCTGATACCGCTTTCTCGAGGACTCTAGCGTTTAGGTGGCCAAGGCGACGATGCCAGGTGGTGGCATCGCCTGCGAGTTCCTTGTGGACTTTCCGGGAGTCATTACCGTGTATATTATCGTATTTGCGGCCTCTTTGGCGCACTTCTTCGTCGATCGTGGTCAAGTGTCCTCGTATAGGAAGAGGGTGGAGTATTCCGGGGGTATTGGATCCACCTACAGCCCGGACCCTCAGGCTCGATCGCTGTGGTTCTGGATCTTCGTCTTCGGATGCGAAGATTTCCTCGTCGGATTCGTCCGTATCAGCGGATTCTTGTACCACGTTGTCTGAGTCGTCAGATTGGTCTGAGATGCTCGTGATGGAGTGGGTTACTTCCACGAGGTTGGCTACGGCCTGTGGGGTTACTGCTGAACCGTCCACTTGTTGGCGCGTGCTCTTGGCTTTATGGGCCGTAGACTTGGCCACACTGGCCGAATCCTGTATAGGTCGGAAATCGAGTACTGGCTGTCCCTCGTGCTCTGAGAGGTAGGCTAACGTTTCTTTCTGGGGCCCATAGTACAGTCTGGAGCCCTCCATGTCGTAGTACACACCTGCCTTCTTGAATAGACTGGCTGAGGCCAGATTGGAGTGCATAGATGGTACATACGCGGCGTTGTAGAGTATGAAGTCTCTGTGGCCATCTGGGCCATGGATTCGAATTCTGGCATCTCCCCAGAGCGCGATATCCAACTTCGTCCCACCGGCCAGTAGTACGTCAGACTCTGTAGCCGGCCGCGGATTTGTGAGATTTGCGTCATTATTGACTACATAGACGTTAGCTCCAGTGTCGTAAATGACCGAATTCTTCAACGGATAGTTCGTATCCGCCGAGATACAGCCGGCGGTCAACGTATTGTTGAGAGCGGCTGGGTTGTAGATCGTCGAGGCGCCAGCTAACGCTAACCTCTGGTGGTTAGGTCTATCTTGACCGAAGGTCCCGTCGCGAATAGCATCCACTTTGGCCTTGAGATTCTGTGGCAACTTGGCGTAGTTGGCATCCACAATCTTCTGGACGCTTTTCCTAGCGGTCCAGTTAGCCGGTTTTATTGGGATAAGATAGTAGCAATTCTGCCACGAGTATTTCTTTCCGCAGAGGTATTTGGGTTTCGAATCCACACTTCCTCTCTGTTGGAGTTCCTCTGGCGTCGCTTCGTCCCTAAAGGTAGCATCAAAAGTGGCCCTGGATACGCTGCTGGTATCATATCTGTTGAGGTCCAAGTGTCGTTGGAGGGATTCGTAAAGCGTCTGCCGTAAGTACCTCCTCTTCTCTGGTAATCAGCTGATACTCCCACATAGAGCTGAACTCTGGTGCGGCTGGTTTTATTCCTCTGACGAAGCTGTATTGAGGATGATGGCCTTGGACTATCTCGCAGCGCGCCTTGGAGGCGTTGATGTAGGCTGTCCACCAGGCATCAGCCCATTTGGCTGCATTCTGCTTCTGGGCTGGCCTACAGGCCCTCAAGTAAGCGGCTTCCATGTCCATCTTGTGGGCTTGAGATCCTGGCTTGAAGTAGCCTTGGATGGCCTTCATCTTGTCAGTCAGCGTCTTCCTGGTGCGGAAGATAGAGTACCGCTCAGGGCTGATGGTTTTGAACAACCAGGCGGTGAATTTATCGGCTTTCTCTTCAAGGGCTTTGAATTCAGCTATTTCCTCGTTATATCTGGATAGGCACTGCTTCAACAGAGTGCGCTCGAGGTCTGTGAGGTCAGAGAGAGCTGTAGAGTCCTTGTTGACAGTATTCGGATGTGGATAGATTGGCTTCTCTGGCATGTCCGTAGGGTTGGATGGGTTGATTATTTCCCATAGCTGGCGGCCAGCCTTGACTTCGGCTATTGGAATCCATAGATGCCAGTCCTTCTTGGACTTCAGAAACACCGCTTCGCGCGTGACGGTGGTTTCGGGGGTTTGAAAGGCCATAATTGTCGATGGCTTCAAAATGGCTGACTGCTGTAGTGGCAGCGGCGTCAGAATTGCTCAATCCGTAGATGATGGTCAAGATAGAGCCGGTGCAGTTATTCCGGGCTCATAACTATTGGATTGTGGGCAAATTGTCTTGTATTGAAAGTGTCATGATCTCTGGAGAGTCCTGAGAGAAGTGAAGGGCGGCCATAGGGGCCTTATATAGGTAGAAATGACTGATGCCTGTCCCACAGCCAGGACTTGTGTGGTTCAATGGGTAGAGGTCATATTGACCCATACTTCGTATGGTTTGCGGCTTTACTTTTCTCCTTTGACTTAGCAGTCTTGACGGAGTAGCCTTGAAGGTCCGACACGAAGCTGAGGACTCGCAAAGCTTTGCAACCAGTTTTGCATCAAGTGTCCCGTTATCAAGCGTGCATACGCCCCCTCCCCGCGCAGCTAAATTTGCACGTAGTCCTCCATCACCATCGGCTTCCCGGCAATACAAAAAGCGAGGACGGGAATATTCGTAGTTGACTGTCAAAAGTAATTTTATGGTTGAACTATGCAAAGCGCCTGTTACAGCGCATACGGGATGATCAACAAACGATGTCAGTCGTCGCACTTCGTCTTCGTACTGGTCACAGCATTTTTAAGTAATCCTCGAATGAGAATTTCGCAACAGCATGGGCGGCCGCTTTCCCTGCTTCGTGAATGCATTTATGCGGATACGGAGCCAAAGATTTTGCCCTCTCACACAATGATTTGTTTGCCTGGGCAGACTTGTTTGCGCCGTTCATAGTTGATATAACACATGGACACGATTCTTTCGAAAAGGAAACAAAAGCACTGAAATTAATATATATGATATAGTTCGGATAGATTTTGAAGTTCGCAGTGGATAACCATGCCCCAGCCGGAAAATGAGTGCTCATTTTTCTTTGACAACCTTCAGAACCTGCCTTGCTTGATCAGGATCTGGAAGTTCGCCACGCTCTATTAATGCCTTCAACTCTTCCTTGTCCTTCCATTTCTCATAGCATTCCAGATATTCTATAGCAAGAAATTGTGCTATTGCAGGGGCGAGATGATTACCACGCTTAATATAGGCATCTTTATCCAGCGTTCCAGGCCATCTTTCCATTCCTGGTGGGAAATATCCGGCATGCTCCCAATCAATCAAGGCTTTGACTTCAAGGGTTTTCCGGTCTATTATGATGTTATGTGCTGCAAGATCACCATGTTGGAATGTGTATCCCGGCTCTTTCAAGGGAAGGGTCTCCCATTTCACCTTACCTTTCCACGGAGGCTCCATGTCAGGACTCATCCACGAGGGCGGCATGACAAATCCAAGAATTTCTCGGGATCTGGACTTCAAGTTTGCAAGCTGAGGCAAAACGGTTCTCTGGATAAATTCTAGGGCATTGGAGTATGCTTGCGCCGAGCATGGTTCGCATGTTGTGTCGTCTGTATGTTTTTGCTCATCTGGCATTAGGCAGCCTCGATGCCGAATTTGGTCTAATCGGATGCCCTCGATGAATTCTGTGACTAGGTATCGCCGACCATCCTGGTAGCTTCCGTAGTCCAGTAGTTGTGGCACGGGGATTGTAGTATTATGTGAAACTATTTTCAGAGCTTCGGCCTCATTCGTAATGCGTTCATGATTCCTGTAAGATCGAGGTATGTGAACATGATACGAGTTCTGCGAGATGGGCATTGTTGACAGGCAAAGACGCAGACTTCTTTTTCTGGGGAGTGGGGAAAGACATTTCTTACCACGATCTAAACCATGTGAAGTCGGTGCCATCAAGTCGCTTATCCGTGAAGGCCAGCCGTGAGGTCTTGGTAAAGGTTGTAGCGGTAAAATCGTAAGTTACGTCGTTCGTTTCGATGGATTGGAGAATCTGGTTTCCTGTGACGTAGAAAGGTCGATTCAAATTAACGTAAATACCAGATACAGATATCACTGGTAATGCTCACCATTTTTCGCTTCCATGCTGTGTGTATCCTGGTCGATCTACCGCACTGGACTCATGTCACGAATGTCAAGTTCATTGAATTCGTGCCAAGTCAGCTGTGTGGTCAGATCTGTTGATTCGTGGATTGATTGATGATAAGTCTAGGTTTCTATGTAACGCAGTAACAGCGTTGGCTTTATTTCCACTTTTGTGGGGCTTAGGGCAAGCCACACTCAGATCCACACCTCCTGCAGCTAGCCACTCCTGTGTGACTTTCCCCTCCTTCTTTGTCCTGTATCCACTGGGCCTGCCATCGGGCCTGTTGCATTGGTTAGAATCGTAGATTCGTAACACGTACGACGCCGGACACGGCGTACACCCCCTATCGGCCGTTTTACCCTAGGGTTATGAGGGTTAGGGTTGTACGGGGCCCGTGCTCTCTTATTGCTTTCGCTCTCTTACTTTCTCTCTATCTTTGTTTCTCTTTCTCGCCCTCTCTCTTTCCTTCTTTCTTTCTTTCTTTCTTTTTTTCTCCCTCTCTCCTCTCTCCTGTGACGGCCGGTGTCACGATGCCACAAAACCCACTAGCTGTGGACCTGTAGGAGCACTGGCTATCTGAAGGCGGGATTGAAGATCCTCAGATGTGAGCCAGCCTGTTTTAGTTTCTCTTTCTTTCCTTGTCGAGAATTGTTAAGTCAATACAGTGCATTAGAGTGTTTTGACTCTTCAATTATGCTCACCGTGACATTATTCTCGACCGTAAATCAAGCCCGACAGTATACCGACGGACTTGATCTTGCTAACAAAACCCCTCCCCCAAAACGATGGCACCAAGGAAAAACCCCCCGCTCGCAACGTCTAAGGAGCCAGAAGCACAAGTCGAACCACGAACGCGGAGCCCGACGGAGGAGGATATCGATTCGAATCAGAGGATCGCTGACTTAGAGGAACAAGTGCAGGAGTTAGATGCGGAGCTGCAAAACTACAATGCGCGAGTTCGGGAACAGGAGCGGATGATCAACAGTCTCAAGGAAACAATCGATGCGAAAGATCGCACGATCATCCAGCAAGCGCAACAAATCGCAAACTGTAGTAGACCAACTACAATACTACCATCTGTAGAGGGTCCGCAGATACGTGGCAGTACGGACGGGAATAGGAAAGGAGCTGACGTCGTCATTTTGAAAAATGGCATAGACCCTACTGTTACCAATTGGATTATGCTGATCAGGGATAAATTCCAGGACGAGCCGATGAACTATCCCGATGAACAGAGTCAAATTCGGTACTGCAGGAAAAGGTTAGGGTTAGGGTTAGGGTTAGGGTTAGGGTTAGGGTTAGGGTTAGGGTTAGGGTTAGGGTTAGGGTTAGGGTTAGGGTTAGGGTTAGGGTTAGGGTTAGGGTTAGGGTTAGGGTTAGGGTTAGGGTTA